TCTTATATACAGCATTCAGTTGAATATTGTTTCTTGATCTATTCTGCTAGTCAGTGTCTTTTGTTTGGGAACTGAGATTATTCACATTGAAAGTTATTAGTGATAGCTATTGACTTATTCCTGTCATTGCCTTATTTCCTGTTACTGATTCCCTGTATTTAACTGCTCACCCTGCCTGGTATAGTCATTCTATTACACTTTTTGTCTTTGTTAGCTTTATTGTCTATTTCTAGGGAATCCTTGAGAACTTTTTGGAGTGCTGGTTTGTCGATCATGAATTTCTTTAGCTGCTTTTTACCATGAAAGTATCTTCTTTCTCTGTCAATCTTTAGATAGTTTTTCATGATATGACAGCCTGGATTGGATATTGTTTTGTTTTATAGCTTGAAACAATTTAGCCAAAGCTCTCTTAGCTTTTTAGGTTTGTATTCATAAGTCTGCTTTAATTCTAATAGATTTTCTTTTATAAGTAATTTGATGCTTTCCACTACTGGCATTTAAGATGCACTTCTTTCATTGGTTTTTTGGGATTTTGACTATAATGTCATGGAGAGCCTTTTTTCTGATTGTTACTATTTGGCATTCTGTATGCCTCACTCATCTGAATGTTACATTCTTTTACCTTATTTGCAAAATTTTCTGCTCTTATTTCAGTGAACAGGTTTTTCATGACTTTTGTATCTTCTGATTTTTTAACTAATTCAAATTAATCTTCTTATTCTTTGCATAATTCTGGAACTGCTGGATCTATTTTTCATGTTATTTTGTGGCAGTTAAGATATTTTTCATTAGTTGGTCACCAATAACAGCCCTGTCTTCTATTTCTGATACCTTGTCATCCTTGGGGATTATAGCCACCACGCCTGCCTTTTACATGCCTTATTGATCTGTGTTGTTAGCTCCCTTGATATCATTTCAAATAATTTGAGTGTTTGGCTCTTGGTTACTTTTTGTCTGACATCCCATGAGTCAGTTTTGGGGGGGTTGAGGGCCATTTTGTTGGCTTGACTTCTCATGTTTCTATTTTTTTCAGGGTGTATGTGTGTGCCTGTGTGGCTTTTTATTTGATTTTAGTCAAAAGCTGTGTTTCTAGCATGGAAATCACTTTGTTAATGTTTATTTTTTACTGTTATAATTTAGGCATGACTAGCTACTGGCCTTTGCCTTTCTCCTAGTATCTAATCATCTGCATTTACTTGAGATGAGAAGTTGCTACCCATTTAACCCAGTATTAGTTTTCCATGAGGGGCCACAGTATTATTGACCCCAAGGTAAACCAGTGTTGATATCTCAAGAAAACGAACTAATAACAACAACTACATCACCCTGGTTACAATAAATTAAATTAGCATCAATAAAATTAGCCTCAATTGATGCTAATCAATAAAATTAGCATCAAATACAAAACCTAAGAACCAATAAGTACCACCTTTACTCATTCATAGAAAGGACATCTATACTATAAGATAATCCAAATATTTACCTACTGTTGGGCTCTAGGAAGTATCTCTTGAATGGAATAACTTTACTTCTACTAACGATGCACATTATTCAATAGCAATAGTGTAAAGTTAACTATAGTAGATATGCTAGTAAAGGTGGAGGGTATGGGGAATTGGGAAATGAAAGAAAACAAATAAAAATTGACAGAATATAAGAAAGAGGAGAGAGAAGTAAGGTGGGGCTCCTATTGAAGAGTAAAAGGAAATCAGTGATGATAGAGAACATTTGCTGGGAAAAACAAATTAAAAAAATAAAAGGTAAGCAGAGCACAAATAGGAGATGAAAGGTAAAGTGGAAGAGAAAAAGGTTGAGCTGGAACAGGAGAAAAAAGAAAGCAGAGAGAAAGTGCACAAAAAATGTGATGAAGAAAAGTTATAAATGATACAACATAGAGAAATTTTAAAAAAGAAAGACTGAAATCAAAGAAAAAGTTCCATTGTTATTGAATGAGTGATTTCTTTCCAAGATGTGTAGTCTTGGGATCCAACCAGTGACAATTTTCTTTGCTTATCTTTAGGGCCTCTGGGTTTTTGAAGTGCTGTCCTTGCACTCGAGGGCCCTCTGTTCATTTCCCCAGACCATGGTTACCTTCAGAGCCAAAGTGTGTCCTTCTTCCTTTTGGAAAATGGGAAATGCAATCAGTCCTCCAGTCTGCTGGCCATAGGCTACAGAGGGAGCTTCCAGTGGGTGGTCAGATTTAATGTCTTTTAGTCACGATGTTTGCTCCCTTTTCTCCCTGTTTTCCTTCTCCAGCATAGTTTGGTGGGTTATTCCTCGCGTCCACTGCCCTATGCCATGCTCCCCTAGTGGAAGGGTACTTCTCCACTGGCTCTCCTATGCTTACCTGCGTGGGTGAGTTGGCGGGAGAGACACTGCTTGCTCCTGGTGGGCAAATGTGTACATGTTTAAGTGGATGTGTAAGTCTAAACAGTATATTTTAACTTAAAGTATATAAGTATATATCTATCCTTTTGATATTGTGGTATGGCTTTTCCTTTAGGTATATGGCTTTGTGGATTGGAGTTCATTGATTTCTTTCTTATGTGAAGCTATAGTTATTATATAGCGTCTAACATTTCTGATTTCAGTTACCATAAAATGTAGCAAGCCTTTGAAAATACTTTTAAATAGAACTTGTCTATATTCCTTTTTTTTCCAGAAACTTTTATTAGCTCCCCTAGGTAATTATTAACCAGCTTTTTGTTGTCTCCGTTATTTACTTTTAGTTGGTCTTCTCAAAGCCTTCAACTTATTTTTCATAAAAATAGCAGTCCTTTTCATCATTTGTCATTTTTGTCACTGTTGCAATATATAATTACAAAAATGATATCATGGAGTTACAAACACACTTAGGGACAGATTTCTGGGAACAACAGTTTGCATGGGAACAGAACTCTGGAAAAGAAGCATTTATCCACAAGCATTCAGCTCTGAACATCCATCACTAATCTTTACTGTGAATATGAAAGGGTCAGTTAAGACAGCCTCTATTGTACTGCACTGATGAAACTAAAGAATAAACTCTGCCATGCAGAATCAGTAATTTACAAGTACACATAATCTTTAGTTGACCCTACAGGGTAATTTATTGAGCTCTATATTTGTCTCTGAAAAATCTACCATTTTTAGCCTAATTCTTAATAATTTTTACCTTCCCTAAAAATATTACCTTGAATAAGTAATTGTTGGGCTAGTTACTGTTTAGTTTGTTTAAGGATTCTTCCAATTTTTTTTGTTCTCAGGGTAAATATTTGTGGAGAATCTGTATCTGCCAAAGGTGAAGACTTCTAAAGCACTGTAGATTGCTGCCTCATTTGTCTTTCATGTGCAACCGATGATTATATAATGATTTTTTATAAATTACACATCCACTGTTCATCTCTGTATTTTCTCTTTTCACTCTATTCACTTTCTGCTACTCTATATAGACCTGCTTGTCTTTACAGAAATTCAAGAGACTAGTTGACGGTTTTGAATTGTATGGCATAGGGCTATGAATAACCTCATTGGTGAGTTGAGATCTAGTTAATTAAAATTTATATAATGAGAAACAGGCACAGGTATGCTGCTAGCTAGGCTATGTGCATTTCATAGTTTGGAAATAAAAGGTCTATAAAAGTATTAGTGAAATCAGAAACATTTTCCTATATGTGTATCCCAAGAGTTCAGAATTACTCGTAAAGGATATGATGATCTAAGAAGACATAAAAACCGTGACTCAAATTCCTTTCTTACTCTTTTATAGTATATAACCTCAGAGAAGTTACTTAATCTCTCAGCTTTCCTCCTTCGAAACATGAATTGCTTAACCCTATAGTAGGTGCTCAAATGCATAAATGATGTCCAGTTTCTTGTAACTTGTGGTTCTTACCTATAGCTTTACACTTCTGCCTTTGCTTGTGTAATTCTTTTTTTTTTTTATTTCTCCCATTTTCACCTGATTGGTCTTCAGACATAAAGATTTTGTTCTTTTTAGAGACCTTCTAGACTACCACAAGCTGAGACTTGTATTATTGTACATTCTTGTTACCTTTGCATAAACTGTTCTTATTACCTGGATATATGACCAGCTTTCTTTTTTTGTAGGAAACTTCACTCTATTTATTTATTCAATTTATTTTTCATCTTTCAACATGTGCTGTTTCCTCTTCGAAACAGGACCTGAGTTCATTGAAATGTTTCCTCAGTGTACTCCAATTGTTCCATGTATCACTCAAATCTACTGTCATAATTTCATGACTCTCTCCTATTAAAGTATAAATTCTCTTAAGAGGGAATTAAGTCTTTATGTGCCCACTTGCTCACACACAGAAGGTACTTATTAATTTTTGTTGAACTGAATGAATTGGCAGAATGGAATAATGTGTATGCTGTATATCTCACAATTGTACTGTTAAGCAAAATAAGAAAATACATAAACTACTGTTAGGGCATTGAAAACTGAAAAATTACCCAAAATACCATTTTGCTTTGCCTCATCGATAAAGTCAGCAGTTTGCTGTGTAATGCTGTATGATTAGGCCTTTGAGCCAGGAGCTAGGTTTCTCAAAAATTTCTGGGTTGAACCTCTGAAGATTTGATATCTTCTGTAGGAGAAAATTAAAATATTAAAATGTAGAAGATACTGGAAGCTCCTCTACATGCTTTCTGGTTCTTGGAAATCAACCTGAAAATCACTGCTGTAACTTACATTCTAGCACAATAAAGAATTGTGCTAAATAGAGAGGAGCTTGGTTAAATCTCCAGGTTAGAGGAAAACTTACAAAGAGAAATGATGGAATGACTTTAAGGGACAGTTATAAATATGAATAAAATGGCAAATTTGAACACAGAGGTACTACCAACAAGTTCCCTTTGAACTTGAATTGTGGGGGAAGACTAGCAAAAACCGGGTGTGGTTTATTTGACCAAGTACTCAAATTTTAGAATTTTTAGTAGAATGAGTTGATACAAGGAGGAGAAAAAGTAGTAAAATCTTACATTTTGTCTTTGGACAGGCGGCATTTAAACTGGATACAGTGGGCTTCCCTCCTGATTCTTTTTTTCTCTATTGTGGCCTTAACTACTGGAACTAAAACCTCTCAGCATAATCTGGCAGGACATGGATTTCATCACGATGCCTTCTTCAGCCCATCCAATTCCTGCCTTCAGTTCAGGGGTAAATGTCCTGGAAAAAATTGCACGGTGAAGGAGTGGACTTTTCCCGGAGCTAAATGGAATAATACCACAGCCAGAGTTTTCAGTCACATCCGTCTTGGCTTGGGCCATATACTGATTATAGTACAATGTTTTATTTCTTCAATGGCCAATATCTATAATGAAAAGATACTGAAGGAAGGAAACCATCCACCCGAAAGTATCTTCATACAGAACAGCAAACTCTATTTCTTTGGCATTCTTTTTAATGGGCTGACACTGGGCCTTCAGAAAAGTAACCGTGATCAGATTAAGAACTGTGGATTTTTTTATGGTCACAATGCATTTTCAGTATCCCTTATTTTTGTAACTGCTTTTCAGGGCCTTTCAGTGGCTTTCATTCTGAAGTTCCTGGATAACATGTTCCATGTCTTAATGGCCCAGATTACCACTGTCATTATCACCACAGTGTCTGTCTTGATCTTTGACTTCAGGCCCTCCTTGGAGTTTTTTATAGAAGCCCCTTCTGTCCTTCTTGCCATATTTATTTATAATGCCAGCAAAACTCAGAGTCTGGAATGTGCACCTAGACAAGAACGGATCAGAGATCTAAGTGGGAGTCTTTGGGAGCGTTCTAGTGGGGTAAGTTCGTGCAAGTTGTGCTTTTTGCTTGCTATTGCCAAATTCTAAGCAAGAAAAAGAATAGCATTGATTTATCAAAGAATATGCTAGATCTTTGTGGCTTTTAAAAATTGATCAAAAGACATTCATTGGATGTGTAAATGTTGTCCAGGGTAGAGAAAAAGTTTAAATCAGAGCCTCTCAAGAATTTTATATGTTAATTGTATCAGAGACTGTTACAGACTCAGAAGATAACTTGGAGTATCTGGTCAGTCTCCCTAATTTTGTGACAATTGCTAAGTGAATATACAAATACTAAGTGAAAGAACTGATACTAGACTCAAGCTATCTGACTCTAGTTCCCTGATGGTTCCACTGCACAGTAGTTGGAAAAGTAAATCTCAAGTGTCAAAGAAGCTGAGATTTCACATTGGTAAATCTTGTTAAATGGAAAACCTGACTCCTTAATTATCTTTCTAGTTATTTATAAACTACAGTGTGGCAGAAGGGCAGGGTTTATTTCACTAAGAAAGTCAATTTCAATAGCATCTTCACAAGAAAAAAATATTTTTCTAGAATAGTGCTTATGTAGTTGTTCCGAATGTGTATCAGTTGCTGATAGTTGTTTTAATGAGGTCTTCCAGTCATATCAATAAATTAAAAATGTGTTGGTAGCTGAGTGGGCAGGGTGTGGGGTGTGTGACCATATCCCAGCACTCTGGGAAGCTGAGGCAAGAGGATTAAAAGTCAAACCTGGAGGGCTGGGGATTTAGCTCATCGGCATAAGTGCCTGCCTTGCAAGCGCGCAGTTGTGAGTTCGATCCCTAGTACCGATAAAAAAAAAATAAAAAAAGTCAAACCTGGAGTGGGCATCTTTGCAAGATCCTGTCTCAGAAAAAGGCTGGAGGTATAGCTCAATGCTTTGGAGGCCTTAAATTCAATCCCCTATACCATTAAACTAAACTCTTAAGGTAAAGTAAAATATCTCTCAGAGATTCATTTAAGGATGAGTGCAATGGACTTTTTTATTAGATTTATAATTTTCATAACTTCACAAAATAATGAACAGTTTCACATGATGAATCTGTTTCACTCTTCAGGAAAACCTAATGCTTAGAGTTCATGCCAAACATTTGCTAGGTGTCAGGGCTCTGTACTGCTGAGAAAACCAGTCTTAAAATGAAAAGGTCACAGGCTTACATCTCAGACAACTAGAGCTCAGCCAGTACATTCAGAAGTCCAGTATTTTTTTCCGATGGACTAATTGTCCCAATTTTTAAGAAAAATAAAGTCAATTTAGATAGGCAGACCTAGTTTACATTCATTTCTGCAGCCTATAATCATTTGACCAGCAGGTGGTGCTGTTTACTTCACGTGTGTTAATTTTGACTAAAAGACTGGGGTGTGTTTCATTTTTAATCATCTCATTGCATTTCTAAAGTTAACTTACCAAGTATTTATTTAATTTACCGGGTTACATTTACAGTTTAATGAAATGAAACCCATGACTTAATGATTCCTGACATACATTTCATAAGACAAACAGTTAAAATGTGACTTTTCGAATTTGTTTAAATTAATTACTTATTTCCTATGTTTCCTTTTAGGATGGAGAAGAACTGGAAAGACTTACCAAACCCAAGAGTGATGAGTCAGATGAAGACACTTTCTAAATTGATACCAAAAGAGTTAGCAGCTCTCACAAACCAGTATTTGTAATATTTATCTTTTCACTTTGATAAACTAAGGGTATTCTAAAGAATAATACTCTCACAATCAACTTTTGTAATAGTTATCTTTTTACTTTGATGAATCCAGGCTTTTCTATTGCATAATACTCTGCATATAGCGAACTGCTCCCTAAATGGTTCCATTCAATCAAGGTTTAGAGTACACAAAGGGTGATGAATTTCTAAGGAATCGACAGAGAGATAATAACATAGAGACCATATTAAAGCCCAGTTCTTGAAAAGTCAGCGAGATAACTTACAGATTATTTTCCTTGTCCTCATTGGTTCCAAAAAACTTAGAGTAATCATGTTAGGCCCTATAATTATACAAGTAGAGATTAGTTTGCAGGATATTCATAATTATGTGGTTCTAGCCTACATGCCAGTCTTCCCTTTTTATCATTATAAACTTCATCTTGGTTGTCTGAAATGCTAAGGCCCCACAGATAGTCATTTCACAATTACAGGACAATAAAACTACCTAAAAATTTTGGTGAAGGACCAAAACGTCTGGCCATATCATAGATTTAGGGCAACATAGTCTAAGCTAAATGTTTTGTTGAAGAAACAGTTTTTCAGAACCAAATTTTTAGAATTTTAACATTTAAGAATTCATGGGAAGTTTTATGTTTAGTAATTATCTTTTGATGTTGTATATATGTACAGGCTTTATGTAGATGAAAGTGATCACAGTTACCACTTGTATTGTAAACAACTTTAGCCATTGTCAGTTTTTTGCCCCTTTGGTTTGTATATATCAAAATATTGGGATCGTTACTTTTTGAGTATTGTGTTTTGGAAAAATAATAAGGCATTTTATTTTATTATTAGTTAAACCTGGTGACTGTTACATATCTTTATTATATACTGTTCCCAAAGTCAGAACACTGATTTCATATTCATGAAAGATTGTTAGTAAGAGTAATGCCTATGAGTTACTTTTAAAAGGATCCTTTTGCAAATAAATACTGACTTTTATATGAGTAGTATTACTCATAACAGTAGGAAGGCCAGCAATCAATAAGTCACTTTATAGTAATAGTTGACACTTATAGTACTAGGAGTACATAGTGTTTTAGGTACTTTTGCATGCAGCTAATGACTGTTGGGTAGCTCAGTCAAGGGACAGATCATTCAAAAATGAGAAAATAATGATTTGTCCAAGGTCAGGCAGCTGGATAGCAGTAGAAGAGCAGGCTTTAATTGGCAAGCCTATACGTTTACAAAGTCTTATGCTGTGAGAGTTACAAGGTTTCATACAGCCTACGTATATTTTTTTCCTCTAATTCTCATACAGAAGTATATATGGTGGTAATGTAATATAATCCAGCTGTGATATGTAGAGTACTCAAGAACTGGTAGAAATTTATAACTAAAATAATTATTAAACCTATATGTGTTATGTGAGGTGAGATATGGAGTGCTTTTAATTTCAAAAAATGGAGTGAGAGAGGCAAAAGCTCAAACAACTTTTAAAATTTTAAGACAAACTTAAATTTTAAGTTTTAAATTTTAACAATTTTAAAGTCTATTTGTGTACTTATTTTTGATAGTGGAGATTGAGCCCTCATCTTCAGCCTTTGTTTGTTTGTTTGGTTTTTTTTGCTAAATTTCCCCAGGCTTGGCTCAAATTTGTGACCATCTCCCTGACTGCTGCTATTATCAGCGTGCACCAAGACACCTAGCAAGTCAGTCTTAACATCTAAGAACAGCAAACCGTTTGCCTTATTGTAGGTATTTTTACCATTTATATGAAACAGTAAGATTATGTCTAATATAGCAATTCATTTTAAAGGTCAGGAAGATAATACATAGCAAGACCTCACTTTTAGGAAAAATAGCATACAAAACATTTTATCATACAGAACCAGTAAAGTTACAAAAGTATTCCTACAGAAGTATTACCCAGAGCGTGCATTAAATTACAGATTTCAGTAGTGTGTAGAGGTTAATTTTTTTATGATTAGTTTTTTCCCCACCTTCCTCTTTGGAAAGCATTTGTTGCCCAAAGTAAGTTCTACTTGCATTAAGTCACCATCTAATGAGAGAAAGAGAGAGCTGGAACTCAAATGTGAGGTTCTGAGAAGGAGTACTTCATGGCATCTTTGTTTTAAGAAGAAGGGTAATTTCAAAGTGCAAGACCCATAAACCATATCCTAAGTGCTCTTGGAATCAAGAGATAGTATAACTTGGAGAGAAGAACAGTTGTCACTTACGAAGGAGGCTAAACCTCATTGTTTATAAATGCCCACACCGTAGGAACTCTGTTCACTCTTTACAGGCTAACAGGTGGAGTGAAGCCATTGTCTTTCACTTCTTCCCCCTTTATCTGTGTCTTGATTTTATTCACTGACTGTGATATTCTGATGGGCAGAAGAAGCAGAGAACATTAAACTCAAAGGACAAAGAGTGATTTCCCATTCTAAAACGTAAACAGAGTTTCTAAAATTGAATAATACATATTTTCTCTTCAAAGGAAAAGTTCTCACAAATCTCAACATGGGCCTTTATCTTACTTGACTTGTTTTTCAGGGGCACAGGGGAGGTTCTTTGTTTGTTTGCTTGCTTGTTATGACAGCATTTTGTTCTCTAACCTAGACTAGCCTTGAACATGCAGTTCTCCTCCGTTGGCCTCTCAAATGCTGTAATTACAGGCATGCAGCAGCATGCCTGTTTTACTGCTGTACTATAAGTTAAAATATGAAATTTGAACTTCTTTGCTTATATTTTTTATAAGAAAAACTAAGACACATTTATGAAATAAAGTATACAGCTATAGAAGGAGTAATTTTTAAATTCAAATATGAGTTTAATGAACAAGTAGCATTTCGGTCAGATCAATTTGCGGGAGGCCCCTTAGTTTCCCTGCAGAGTATCTGACCTTACTTGCTGTTTTAGTGGCTACAGGCACCATCGTGTGTCTGCCAAGATAAGTGAAACCTGCTGATATTGCTAGTAGTGAATTTTTGCCTGCAGCGATTTATCAAGGCCTGTTTGTTAACAGCCCCACATGGATTTGGCATGCGTCAGTCTGCCGACTCCCACTGGTCTTGGTGCTCCGGAAAAAAGTTTCACATGTTCCCTCAAAGTCTCAAAGAGCTCCCTAGTAAAATGGCTTAAATTTGTTTTGTTTTTGTTTTCTTTCTTTATTTAAGTACTTTTTCCCCACATCCTTCTCTTCTTGGGTTGGTGTGTATGTTTGTGTTGTACTGGATCGAACTCACAACCTTGCAGTCTCGCACTTGTTGGGCAGGTGCTTATGCCACCGAGCTAAATCCCCAGCCCCCTCCTTTATGTATCAGGAATTGAACTGAGAACCCTGCACTTGCCAGGCAGGCACCTTTGCTGCTGAGCTAAATCCTTGGCCCCAACTCGTTCTCTTCTTAGTTCACTCTTAATCATTCATATTTTAAAATTATTTCCGTAGGAATTTTTGAGTCATTTTCTCCTAATTTCCTGTTAACTGATACTGTTTTCTTCCTTAATTTTGTATGTGAATGGTTTCATTGGGTTTTTTTTTAAAATAGGTTAGCTGCTTCTTTGTACAGATTTTTGTTGTGACAAAAAACAAAAATTTTACTGCCTTAACCATTTTTAAATGTATGGTTCAGGAGAACTAAGTATATTATTCATATTGTGTAGTCACCGTCCATCTCTAGAAACTTCCTCTCACAAGATTAAAACTTTGTATCCGTTAAATGATAGCTTTTTATTTCTTTCCCCCTCAGCTCTTGCAACCATTATACTAGTTTCTCTAATATTAATTATTCTTTAGTACCTCATATAATCATACTCATACAGTATTTGTTTTTTTATAACTGGCTCATTTCACTTAGTTTAATATCTTGAAGACTCATCCATGAGCAGAATCATGACATAGCAGAATTTTCTGATTTCTTCAGGCTACATAGTACTACATTGTATCTGTATATAACATTTCTCACCTGATTGTTCATTGATGGGACACTTGGATTGCTTCTGTGATTTAGCTGTTGTAATGAAGCATACCAGTGTCTCTTTAAAGCTTTGCTTTCAGTTGTTTTTAGTTTACACTTAGAATTTCTTCAGCAGATGATAATTCTATTTTTGATACTTTAAGAATTTCCATATTATTTTCCATGTGGGCTATGCCATTTTCATTCCCACACAGCATACAAGGGGTCCAGTTTCTCTACATCCTCACTTACACTCAATTCTGTTTTGTTTTGCTCTGACAGTTGTCCTCCTTCTCCTGAGATGATATTTCCTTGCAGTTTAATCTCTTTCCACTTTTGAATGAGATTATTTTGTAATTGCCCTTGTTGGGAGTTCTCTGTACATTCTGGATATTAATCCCTTACCCAGTATATGACTTGAAAATATTTTCTTCTATTCTGCGGATTGGCTTTTTCTCTTTTGGCAGTATCTTTATACACAGTAGCTTTCGATACACAATGTTTAAAAATAGGCCTTGTCTCTTTTTTCTTTAATTGGCTCCACTTTTGATATCAAATCTGAGAAATCATTATCAATCTAATAAAGTAAAATTTAACCCTGTGTTTCCTTCTAAGATTTTGATAGTTAAGTTACGATTCCATTCTGAGTTATTTTTTGTATATAATGTTAGTTAGGTAAATGTTGACTCATGCTTTTGCATGTGAACATCCAGTTTTCCCAGCGCCATTTGTTGAAAATACTGCTCTTCAACAAGTAGAATGTATAGTATCTTTTCCATGAATGGGCTTGGCACTTGTTGAACATCATTTGACCAAATACATGAGATTTTAATTTTAAATTTTTTGTTTTATTCCAGTGGTCCATATGTCTACCTTTAGCCTAGGGTTGCACTGTTTTGATTGCTGTAGTTTGGTAATAAATTTTGAAGTCTGAAAGTATAAATCTTTCAGCTTGTTCTTTTTTTCAGGACTGCTTTCACTATTAAGGGTCCCTTGAGTGTCTATGTGAATTTTATTGTGAGCTTTTTAATGTTTACAGAAAAGTCAGTGGAATTTTTTTTGTAAGAATGGCATTAAATTTGTAGACCATGTTGGGTAGAATTGACATCAAGTTCAATTCATGAGCATGTGATATCTTTCAATTTATTTACATCTTTAGTTTCTTTCAGATATACATTGTAGTTATAATTCCTTTACACTATAGGTTACCAAAATTCTTAGAACTTTTATTTTTGGTATTATAATTTCCTCTTTAGATTTGTGATTCTTAGTATAGAAATGCAGCTAATTTTTATGTGATGACTTTGTATCTTATTACTTGATTGAAGTTGTTTATTATCCCTAACGTTTTCTGGGGATGTTGGGTTTTCTGTATAAAATCCTATTATTTATAAACAGTGGTAATTTTAACTTTCATTACTTGAATGCCTTTCATTTCTTTTTCTAAAACGTAATTTGGGCTACAACTTTCAGAATTATATTGAATAGAAGTAGACATCCTTGCTTTATTTCTGATCTTAAGAAAAGCTTTTGGTGTTTACTATTGGATGTGATGTTTTCTGTTTTGCCTAAGGTATCCTTTTTCGTCTTTTTGTTTTTAATTTATCTATATACTTATATCTAACATGAGTCTCTTGAAGGTACCATACACAGAATTTGGATTCTGCCTTTTTAAAATTCATTCCACTAGCCATTGTCTTTTGATTGACTGTTACAATTTAGATCTAAAATATCCCACAAAGGCCTGGTTTTCAGAGGTGGGGGTTTTGGAAGGTGATTTGATCGTGAGGGTTGTAGCTTTATCAATGAAATAAGCTATGAAGAACTCATAACTTGATGACATTACGGGGAGGAAAGAGTTAGTGCCTACTTGAAGTGAATCATGGGCCATGAATTTGATGCCTAGATTTATTTCCTAACCCCTTCCTCTCTGGCTCTTCTCGTTCTGATTGCTGGCTGCCATGACATGAGCAGCTTTCTTCTGCCATAAGCTTCGGCTGTGATGTTTGGCCTTGCCACTGAAATAAAACCATTGTGCTAGCTGACCATGGATTCTGAAAGTATGAACTGAAACAGATTTTTCTTCCTCTTAAGTTGTTTTTCTCAGGTAATTAATTGGACACTGTGAAAAGCTGGCTAACCCAGAGAGTTTAATCCATTTATATTTAAATTAATTTCTGAGGGGAGGGACTTCCTTTTGTCCATTTTGCTGTTTTTTATTTATCTTAGTTTTATAATCCTGTTTCTTACATTGCTGTCACCTTGATTTTTATAATGAAATATTTAATTTTCCTTTTTATTTCCTTTTGTGAATATTCACTTATTTTCTTTGTAATTACTATAAAGATTTTATATATTTTGTTTTGTTTTTTTGTACTGGGGGTTAAACTCAGGACCTCATACTTGCCAGGCAGGCGCTTATGCCGCTGAGCCAAATCCCCAGGCCTGACATATTTAATACACTGGAGTTATCACACTCTTCTTGGGTTAACAATCTGTGGGATGCTTGTAGTATTGCTTGATACAAGTCCAGGCTTCAGAACCATGGAAGCCAAGAGTATACCCTGGGGCTGAACCCAAAAGCCTAAGAAGCTAAGATGGTATTGGTATGAGTTCTGGAGTACAAAGGCCAAGCAAAAGGAGGTTGTCCCAGCCTCAGAACAGAGAAAGGAAATCACTTTTCTTTTGCCTGCTGTAATCTGTGTAGTCCCTGCAGCTAATTGGATAGCACCTCTTGCACATACCTAGAGTGAATCCTCACTCAGTTCACCACTTACATGAGTCTCCTTTGAAAAACCTTCACAGACACACCCAGAAACACTGCTTTACCACTTCTCTGGGTATTCTTTAGTTGACACCTAAAGTTAGCCCCGACACAGGGAGGATTCTGCAACAATAGAGCAAAATACAACAACACTGGCTGCACCTGTTTGTCTATTCCTCTGTGACCAGAAGCCACCATTAGTGCTCAGAGCACAGCTCCTCAGTAGTTAAAACAGGGCCCTTTGGCGCCCCCTGGGTCCAGCTCTCTGCGGTCTGCCCCAAGAATATGAGCACAGCTGCGTGCCACAGGGCTAAGAGGTCTGGGGTAGGTATTTGCTATTGTGCTAAGAGCAAAAGTTGACCAAATAGACTTCAGCTTACAGTTAAGGCCCTCCCCTGAAACATTTAAGCTTTCACTGGACTCGAGAGTTCCAAAATAGTTACATGAGATAGATTCTGCAGTTGTCCAAGTGGAAAGGCTGACTCTTGGTGCTTCCTGTCCCACCATTTCACCAAAATCCTCTCTTCTAGTTAAATTTTACTTTATTAGTGATTGTCTTAATAGCTGTGTGAACACTCATGGAGTACATATACCTTTAATCAGTTCACAAAGACTGAGTCAAGGGTAGTGTGATTGAGGCTTTTATTCATATTTTGTTAATTTATGGTTTTCACATACTTGGTTAGAAAGTGAGATCTATATTTTTTCTAGTAAAACGAATATTTCCTTTATTCATGCATTTTCATGCATATTTCATGGGCATTTAAACAAACGTACACTTTGTATTGCTGACATTCATTTGTTTGTGTGTTTATTATAGTTAGGAATCAAACCCAGAGATGCTGTCACTGAACGACATCCATAGCCATTTCTGCTTTGAGATGGGCTTACTGAATTGCCCAAGGTGGCCTGCAATTTGGCAGTCCTCCTGCCTCAGTCTCCCAAGTAGCTGAGAATACAGGCATCCACTACCATACCTGGCAATTTTGTATTTTATATCACTCATGTTTGCATTTTTAGTACAGAAAGGTACCAGTTACAGTATAACTGGTTTACATATGCCCTTAATTGAAAAGTCACCATTTTTGTTCTTTAATGATTTTAAATCTATTCATACCTATTATTACTAATACTGTTTTGTAATATAAATGTGAAATATATTAATGATGTTGCTATTATAATGTAATATTAACATTGATAATTTTATATGCATATTAATATATATTATTTGCATGCTTTGAGTTGTTGTCATTTGTCTTGTTCATTAGCATACAATAAACTTCTTTTGAGAAAATACTGGCTTAATATTTTGAACCAGTCTGAAAGTTTCTTAAAATATTTGAAATTTACATTTCTACTCTTATTACTAGTAAATTTTTACATTTTAAGAAGAAAAGTTAGTTTTATAAGTTTATCAATTTAAGGAATTAAAAACTAATCATTGATTCCTTTTCACTGAAGAGGAGAAAGGACATATTTTCTCCTAAATAGCACTTTTTTCTATAAACTGGGAATTTTACCCATATCTGTTGTAGTATGTTTCATCTATTTGAAAGTTCATGTGTTTTCACCTTATCATCTCTGAAATTTGGAAGTTTAAATGATGGTACATAGCTGCAGCCTAGTGGCAGTAATGGTAAAGTTGTATTTGCCCACACATGCAGGCATCATGTTTGGTGTGGTTACACAATGACATTTGTCAATATACTGATGCTTCTTAACCTTTTGATCAGCAAACCATTTAATGAGAAAAACAGCTAGCTGTTGTCTGAAAATTTTCCATTGATGCAGCTTGGTACAATCAAGAACATGGCACCTTTAAATTTGACTGAATGGGTGTCAGTGGTTTGGGAAAAAATCTTGGAAACCACAGAGTCTCTCTTCTCACACATGATGCATCATCATTTCTGTCAAAGTCAGAACTTTTATGTGGAGAGAATCAAGACATATACTGCTATTCACCGAAGTATTTGAGCTTGAAATGAGAAGTTTTAGAAATACCTTAATTTATTTAACTTACAGTTTTCTTTTTAAAAAGCAGTACATGATAATATAGAAACTAAGCAAATATGAAAGAAAACTAAGCAATAAAAGTTATGTTAAATTGGCAGTATACTTAGAGCATAAAATAGTAGTGCCTCTTAGGATTGACATTTTCATAAATTTGGTGAAACTTGAATGTTTAAAAAACTTAATTGTATATCTTTTATTTAAAAAATAGTTTGTTTGCCTTTTAATTGGTAAGCCCAATTATCAAAGTCAGTTAAATTTTTTCATGATACTACTATATTAATTGTCACATGTTAACTTGAGTAAGAATAGCCTAGCAGATGAGTAAAGCTGTAAGTATGTGTGGATGATTGCCTCGTAGGCCACAAAAGGAGAGAAGATCCACCCCAGGGTGACACCAACCATAGGTCTGGAACAGAACAGAAAAGCAAAGGAAAAGGAATGTAATTCCTTTTTAATCCGGAAGACCTGTGGTCTTCTCCATTGCCTTTGGACTTTCCCTTCTGTTTCCTTTTAGGCTTCAGCGTTCTGACACAGGCTTGTACTGGACACTGCAGTGAACTTGCAGGCCTTTGACCTTTGAGTGGCTCCTCCCACCCTCCAGTGCACAGAAGGCTGTGTTGCATTTTTCCACCACTGATTGGGCAAAAGGCCATTGAAACTTTTCAGTTTCTAATCTCAGAAGCCTACCCAATGAACCCTTTACTTCACTCTGTGCATATTTTATATTACATCTGTTCCTCTGGTGAGCCCTATCTAATACACATCCCCCTCCCCATTCATAGCATTTTTTTGTTTTTTTTTTTTTGGTACCATGAATCAAACTCAGGACCTCGCACTTGCCAGGCAGGCAATTGCTCCCTGCCCTTAGCTTAAATGCTAATTAATCTCAATAAGAAACTGTTAAAATAGATTTTGCTTTCCTGAAAGAGTATTTAGCTGATAAACTGAGAACATTTTATATATACATATATATATATATAGAGAGAGAGAGAGAGAACATATGTATAAAGAATATATAAATATACTGAGAATGCATTGCTTGAATATCTTTTGTACAGGTTCTTAAGGTTCTTATGTACTCATCTGAGATTTTAACTTTCCAGTCACGCCTATTGATTTTCCACAAAATAGTGTGGGTAGAAACTCCCTTACAAACCCTTCTTTACCTGGACACTGAAGGTCATCTTTGAACTTAATGCTAAAGGGCTTGAAGGTACTTCAAGGAGATGGAAGGGAAGCAGAGCCACAGAAATATACAACGAGGGAGCCAAGTGGCTGTGTGCTTTTTCTCTATATTGATTGAAAATTCTAATTTAAGAGCCAGTTAAATAAAGATAAGGCTAATAGCATCTACTGTTTGTGAGGAGACGGATAGTGTTTCTTCTCTTGTTTTGGATTAAGCTTCCTGTTTTGGTGAGAAGTCAGGTTAAATTGAGGTGCATTGAAAGGAACACATACAATTTTCCTTATAACTGAGAAATTGGATATTTGAACTTTGAATATGTTATACTTATATATATTCTATATTATGTATATACATTTTAAATGGTATTTTAGATTTACATGTAAAATTACATATAAAATATATCAGTATATATTCAGGCTCCTAATGGATCTAATCAATGGTAGCCATGAGACTGGATTGTGGGAAACAGGTAAAGGAGGAACTAGAAGAAAGGAAAAGATGCTTATAAAAGAGGAAAAGAAACAAAAAAAAACTTTGTTTTGCCCAGAGTCAGTCCTAGCTATTTGAAATCAAGCCAGATCCTTCACACAGCTCTGTGCTCCATTGATTGAGGAAAAAGTATTCTACTGCTTTATAGGAGTAAAGTGCTAATATTTAAGGTCTCTGCAGCCTGCTCACAGGCTGCTCAGTCTGTAAGGTTTAGGATATCAGAAATGTGACACAATGTGGCCACCAATTTGGGAATCTGTTGGAAACTTCCAAGTATATCCTTTGTTAGAGTGACTGATGTTCAGAATGATCCCAGTCCTTGCACTCAGTGTTCTCTGAACCTTCAGTCTAGCTGTATGGAAATAATAAATGGTTCTGTTATGGTTGGATCTGGAATGTCCCCTGAAAGCCTCATGTGTTCAAGATTTGGTCCTCAATGTGGCAGTGTTCAGAGGTGGGCTTTTGGGAAGGTAATTGTATCATAAAGGCTCTAACCTCATCTGTGAATTAATCCATCAAATCATGATGACACTGTAAGGTGGTGGAAACTAAAATGTGGAGTCTAGCTGGAAGAAGTGAGCACTGGGGTCATGGCCTGGAAGGATGCGTCATATAGAGAGCTCTGCCAACCCCTCTCTGCCTGCCTTTTCTCTGTCTCTCCAAGATTGAGATTGTTTGGGGCTCTAAGAAAATATGTGCACAATTTCAGAAGAAATGGTAAGGAAATCCATTTTAATTGACATTTTTAGTTCTGTTTGATCTTGGCAAAATATTAAGAACAGTACACATTCTACTGCCTCTTCACCCCTGCATCTCAAGTAGACTGTCCAAGAGCTAAGATGAAATGCTCTTCACTATGGGAGCATGGTGAGATGGGAGCATAATTTACACAATAAAGAACTGTTCTAAACTTGAACTTTCCATGCCTCAATTGCCTGTAAAACAAGTAAGAATGAATGGTCTTTACAGAGAATGAGAGGTAGGACAAGTGATTTCTCAGGTTCAATGAGTTATAATTCCAGTTTTATTATCATTTATAACAATGTTTCAGATGATATAAAGACTTGTCCGTGCAATAGGCGCAGATAAACTAAAAGCAAATATTTCAATATAACTTTAGTACATCTATTAGTATGTGTGCTTATTAGAGTCAATACCAATGATTAGGAAAGTTAGTTATTGATAGTGCCAAAAATTAAGTATCCCCATTATTGATAGAGAATGATTTCATCAGAATGCTTGACTCCTGTCTAAGGGCAAGCTCATAAATACTACTGGTAAAGTTATTAAAAAAAGAAAAGTAGAAAAGAAGCAAGGAAAGGGATGAAGAGCAGTTTACTTTGGTAAGCTACATATGAAATGTAAATACTGTTTCTCAAAGACACGGATTACACCATTTTGCAATCCAGCAGCATTTTTATCAGCTGTAACTGGGTAATATTTGTCTTTGAAAATAAAAGAACCCCTGAATATCATATCCTTTATTTTTAAAAAATAAAATAACAATACAGTAATAGACTCCTTTGTAAGTTAAATATAATGGTCAAGGGAGAAGAGTCTAGAAAGTCAGACCTAGAATTCCATAGCAACCTACCAGAACTCTGGAAGAATGTCTGGCTATAGGGCTAGAGTGTGGGAAAGATTTCCTAACCCCTTGGTCTATTCCTGAAAAGACACTAAAGATAACAGAACTGGCTCTTACAACGAAATTAGGCTTGGTAGGTTTTCTGGCATTTGGTATCAAGCTTCATGGAAGAAACTCTTATAGAGCAGAGCCAAAATGTTTTTAGGCTAACATTTCAAAAAGTGCTAAGAAGTTATCTATGATACATCAAGATATTTCCTGAACATATGCTGTGATCTTGGGTTTTCTTTAGCAATCATAGTTTTCACTTACCAATTAATACAAAAATAAGAAAAAGAGCTATAAATACTTACAGAATTTTACATGCAAAATAAAGTCCCTTTAAATAAGAAAAAGGAAACAACATTTATTTTAATACCATTGCTTAGCACCAGATTGTGGTTAAAGAAACAAAACAATGTCTTTATGATTTAAAATTTCAATAACAACTCATGAATAGGCAAAAATTTGCTATTTATTTAATCTTGAGAAAACAGAGAAAAAGGAAATGGAAACAGTACAGAAGAACTCCCCTATGCAGCTGGCCATGTGTGGCTTTTGCAGCTGCAGGGGAAATGGGCTGGGGCTAAGGTTACATATTTCTGCTCAGTAAGGGTACCCATGGTGGTAACTCTCATGATGACGGTAGTCATCCTGGTAACCATCCTGGTATCCTTGGTGATAATTATGGTAACCATAGCCTGCATACTCATCTTCCGGGCAGCGCATCCCCAGTGACTGCTGAATGGCCATTTCTTGTCTCCGAAGCTGCATTGAATCAATCAAATCATACACAATCACCATGGACCACATGGGAGAAGGATACCAGGATTTGACATTTCCATCTTTTCCAACCAGAAGCATGGAGAAGTACTCTGGGCTCACTTGAAAATAGTTACGTATATCTTTCACCAGATGGGCAGGTATATCTTCTCTCTCAACAACAGAGCTCCCTAGAGTAGGATTAAAATAATGATTAGTGAATCAAAAATTCAAAGTTCATAAAAACACCAAAGTGAGAAGAAACCACTGTAAGTAAGACTAGTAAGAGGCCCCATGAAACTATTCAAAATTCAATTAAAGTTCACTTTAATTGTTGTTGTTGTTTAATTGTTTGTTGTTGGTTTTTGGTTTTATTTTCCACTAGAAATTGAAGTCTTTAGTTTCAAACTTAAAGGCACATGAAATTTCTTGTAGGACTGTTGTAAGATATAAAATCATTCCCTTAGTTTACTCTGGGCAAGATTAACTTTAAATTGGCCAGTAGCAAGGATAACTGTTCATATTCCTAAATCTATTTCTAATTAGCTTAGTTACTTCTTTGCAATTACAGTTTCCCTTTTGACACTTGTATTTTAAAAAAAAAAAAAAAACTTATTTCATTGTCAGATGTGACAAATACCAATTATGTTAAAATCTAAATAAATATTTAAACTGTGGTGACATGGGAAAAGACAAAAGGAGCTTGCTCAGGTTTCCTGAGGAAGCTGGCTCCCCCTGGCACTGTGCCAGGCATTTTATACCCATCATCTGATTTAAAGACCTAAGGCTTGGAAAGAATTCAATTTGGTTTCTGAAACCTTCAGTCAGTCATTTTATTTCAGCTTGGCTGAGCTCTTTACTGTATTTCCTTATCTGTTGAAAGAGAATCATTGAGATATGACTTTATGTGCTTCATAAGACCATGGTGAGAACTAAATGAGATAACATAGCAGAAAATACTTCATAAACCAGAAACCCCTCTACAGACAAAAAGCCCTTATTTTAATTGAGAAAGAAGATATTTTTACTGTTATCTTGAATGATTTCATATTAAAAACTGTCCTTTCACGCCACCATATGCACATCCTGGCATACACACATACTGGTATACACATACACACATGGTGAGAGAGGAAATCCGTGACCTTTCTCCACCTCTGAGCTATACTCATTGCTTACTATAAGTTAACACTAATTCGACCTGTTTTAAAATAACAACATATTACCATTAATTGGAAACAGTTCTAAAACTCCCCCAATTTCCTCTCCGATGCCCAGAAGCTTTAGGATAGTTATGTGACGCAGACCTGAGACGAAAAAAAAAAGTCACAGAATTAGGAAACTTTTACCTTCAAGAACCTGATAAATAATAATTGAAAATCTCTAAAATTGATAAAGCATGTGAGAACATAACCTAAGTAGAATAACCATCTTTAAATGTTCCCATAAAAAGAGAAAACATTTTTTAAATTATTATTTAAAGAAAAAAAAAGAAAAGAAATTTTTAAAAAAGCAGTAAAAGGGTACAAATAATACAGAATTTCAAGGAAAAAAAAATACAGTAAGATATCACTAGTTAATAGGTTACATATTGTCATCTTTGAGATAGATGTCCAAACTATAAAATTAAAGCATGTAAAGTGAACATTCATACAACGAGATTGCACACAATGCCAATCAATGATCCAACAAAAGTTCAGTAATATGGATTTCCATCCTACACAGTCAAACATACATACAGTTATATCCCTTAGACCATCTTCCTTTCCTCTCTTTTTAATAACAATTACACTTTTGGGTTTTTTTTTTTTACTCCCACAATTCTTATTATTTTTTTGGAGAGAATAAAACCTTACGTGGCTAAACAAAACAGAGTCAGAACAAAAGGATGGGCATAGTACATGATGTAAAAATAGGATATCAGGTGATCTAAAATGGTTACCATTGTGCCTGTTGCTATTTTTTTTTAAAAAGTTGCCTATATCTTCAGGTATAATAGAATTGATCAAAACAGTACAGAACAAGACCAATAAAACCTACACTGGAGACCTTATAGGACTTCAAAATAAGATAATAGTCAAACCATAATGGGCGTCATAGTATATCTTATTGCCTTCAAAGTGGTTGCCTATACCCTCAAACTTGATACTATCAAACAAAACAGAATATAGAATAATCAGAACAAGATGGGGAGAGCAATACTGGGGTTCAAATCAGGTTAATAGGAAAACAAAAAAGTTACTATAATATGTCCCGCTATTTTAACACCTTGAAAAAGACCAACAGCAGATTTTAAGACTAACAAGATGAGATGGTTTGTTTTAGTTTGGATTTGGTTTTTTTTTTTTTTTTTTTTTTTGGCAGATTGAAATAGGTGTATTTGTTCTTAAACCGTCATTTTCACTATTAAATGACCAAAAAAAAGAAAAAAAATGGAATACATGACAAAGATGAAGACAAAGATAAAAGACAAGAAGTTACCATTGGAGCATTAACATAGTAGAGAAACTAGCTGGTGTTCTGGAGAAAGTCAAGCCTGAAGTTTTAACAGCTTTAACTCAGAAAACAGTGCAAACCATCACCCTGGCCACAGCACACTCCCAGTGTCTGCTGGAAAAACTAGTGCTGCCTCTTGCCCAATACTTTGTTGCCTTATCCAGCAGTTTCTTATCATTTATTTAGAGGATCCAAAGAGAAAACACAGGCCAGCTCAGCTTGCTTTCACATCCTTCGCTCAAGTTTCAGGAAAAGAGAAAAGGTCGTGACCTGGTAGCTTGTTGGAATTCTTTTGAAGATGAAGTATTTAGATGGATTCAGGAAAAAGAAACAGGGAGACAAAGAGGCTGTCATCATATCAAGATTTCAGGGTTTATACATTTATAAAAATGTCACAGACTCATTAGTTTGTTCATCTAATGTGTGCTAATAATTACAATGTAAAATATCTAACTTTAAAAAAAACTATAACAAAAAATTCATGATTTTAGATAAAACCCCGTCAAGTCAGGATAATAACCTTGAAATAAAAATATTACTGATAGTATTTGTTGTGTGGATAAATTTAAAGCTACCATGTGATGACTTTTAAGGAGAAGCAAAACTCAAGATAAAATGCTAGCTCCCACAATTTTTTTCTATAAACTTTTTCCAAAGAATTGAAATATTCTGTTCTAAATGGTGAGTCATTTTCAAATAGAATTTAGAATTTAGAAAACATGATTTGTTCACACTTTCTCTGTATTAGCTTTTGGCTTGCTTACAGTGTTATGATATAGGCTTTATATGCTGATATTAAAAAATTAATTTAAAAAAATCACCTAATAGCTGCTGCAAAAATTTCTTTAGAAAATTTACAAACCATGATTAGGTTATATTCTTGCTAGGTAATAACTATTGTAAGAACTACTCTTCTACTTTGAACTACTGATGACCAAAAAATAATTTAAAATACGCCTAAGAATATTGGTACAATCAAATCTATATGTTGCTATAAAATTTTAAATCATTAGCTTTGAAGAAGTAAAAATCGATGAAATTTATTACCCATTCAAACTTATTTTCTGCCTTCTTTTGAGTCATTTCAAACTGTTATTTATTAAAAACTGGTGGTCAGCAGCTGGGGATTTAGCTCAGCGGCATAAGCGCCTGCCTTGCAAGCAGGCAGTCGTGAGTTCGATCCCTGGTACCGATAAAAAGGAAAAAGACAAAAAAAAAAAAAAAAACTGGCGCTCAGCTTAACACCAGCTGAATTAAATCAGCATGGTGCTGAGCATAGATGGTCCACTTGAGGAAACTTGCCAGCATAAATAGAGATTTTGAGAAAAGCAGTGAGGCATTGTGGGTTCTCTGTGTTGCAGTTTTAAGCCATTGGTTCTCCTGGAGGAACTTGTCATGACTAGCTTCCCTATTGTGAGTTCGATCATTGTCATCAGAGGAGCTCAGGTTCTTGTTGGTAAGAGTGGTTGTGGTTCACTTTGGGGAAGCTCTGGTCCTTACATCAAGCATTGCTTCCTGGCTCCAGAGGGGAAGACATTTGCCGTTTAACCTCCAGGAAAAACTCCTGGCTTTCTGGCATGTATTCAACTCTTATTGTTGGAGGAGCTTGGGACCTCCTTGTCCCTAAGAATGGTTCTTATTTTGAGTGTGACTTCTGAGCTCTAGTGTAGAACCCTCAGCCTATTGGCATGGATCCTTCCTTCATTCATTGGCATAGACTTTCTAGCTTCCACCGCTTTCTTTGGGCCTTCCCAGCACAGACCCATAAAACAGACTGTCATGAGACCATCCATGGGCCTTAGCTACTTCCCCATCCCTCCATGCCCCTAAGCATTCAAAATTGTCCCTCTGCAGATATGATTTCAGTAGTGGCTTCTTGGTTCATCATCTTGGTTCACCTTTGGACATAGTAAGCTCTATGTACCATGAAATTTATATGTTCAAAATGATTCTAGTTCTTCCAACCCATTAAGATAATGTTTATTTTAACTAACATATATGTTAGTTTTCGACATACTGAGTCGTTCACACAAAGAATCATAAATCTTTTTCTCTTTGACCTGTTTGACTTAAAATATGTTCATGACAGAGCCATAATTTCTATTCCTCGCTGCTAGGAAGCTCTGATTTGTGTGTTACATTCTCGCTAACTTGAACCACAAAGGATACATACGTGACTGTTCCATCAGGTGGTGTAAGATAGTCCTATTGGGTGGTACAGGCTACCTGATGGGACTGTCATGTATGTACAACCAGTGGTACAGCCAGTGAGAACATATTAAAAACAAGATTCAGTTTTTACAGATTTTGCTATCGTTTTGGTGCCCAGTATAGATTAAATTTTTTTTGTATCAGGGATCTAATTCACAAGCTGATGCTTGCCAGGCAGGCACTTGTACCACTGAGCTAAACCCCTAACCCTAAAATATTTTTTAAGAAAAGGGATAATGTGATATAGTCTGTTTTAACTGGTATGTTATTTCCAAAGCCATTCCTAAGTTACAAAACATATTTAATCTATGGGAAAGCATCTGTTAATGGTATCTGTATAAATGCCTAAGTATTAACTAAGTAGATGATAATACCTAAGTTTTATCATCAGAAGACAGGCTTTTAAAAAACCAAACATAAGACAAATAATACAGATCATTAAAAGTAAAGATGTACATGTTTTAAAACACTTCAGTGAGAAACATGATAGAATATAAGGTAGAAAAAGGTTTGTAGTTGATTAAAGCTCCGGTCTGAAAGCAACTTTCTATTCATTGTAATAGGAGATGTGTCTGGGAATCCACAGTCTGGACCAGGGAATATTTGGATGATCTAAGCGTCTATGTTTCATTTTAGAATTCCCCAGGAAGAAAGTGGTACGGGAAAGCAGAAATGAGGTGATTTTCCACTCACCAAAATTGCATGCCTGACCACTGAGGGCAGATAGCTGTTGTGAATAGGCCCAGTCTTCATCATTAGGAGCAGAGATCACCAGCAAGCGCCTCCTCCATCGGAACCTGGAAAAGAAGCAGAAGGTCACCAGCACTACTATTTCAAACAGTAGAGCCCAGTGTCAGAAAGCAAGGTCATTTTACCTGCCATCTTTCCAAAGCCAAGAATAAAAATTGACCTGTAGGGCCATCCTGCAGCTCCTCAAGGCCATGGGACTGCATTACTACGCATTAATACTTTTTTTGTCATTACTTCACACTACCTACTTTGAGGTTTGCATGATGTATCAGGTGTGAGTCTGTGGTCGCCATGCCTGAGGAAGTCACTTATATAGAGACAGAGCTCTCGGATGTAAGGAAGACTGGCCAAAATTGTACACTATGCTGTAGCATTAGAAATAAGGAACTCAGAAGAAAACTCAGGTCCTACTAGGGTTCCCCCTTGCTTTGGAGAGGATTGCAGACAAGAAATAGAAGGGAAAATACAACCTACTTTTAAGTAGGTGACTGTGATAGGAAAATGGGAAATTAGCGCAAAGGGTCACAGAGGGCTCCTGAAAAAAAACAAAAAATACTGTAATCAGTAGTATATTCCAGTGGTAAATGTAAACGAAAATTCTAGTAAGAGGCAACACAAAGTATCCCTATGAAGTGGAAAGTTGCTTAAACCTTGAGCCATAGAATCTTAGAAAATATAATAAACTTTGTTTCTGCTCTTACAGCTTTTGTTGCTAGAAACTCTTGAGTTTAAGTTTTGTCACTACTAATTTTGGGGTATCCTTGTGTACATCACTTGATTCACCAGGTGCCATCCTTATCTCTAGAAGTGAAAGCAGCATGTCTACTTTGAAGGGGTGTAATAGGATTTGGCTCTGGAGCCAGCTATATGAGTTACGCACATGATGGCAGCCAGCTCATTTTATTCATGACTTCACCTCCTGTGCTCCTCATAGCTTCAGAGAAAATGGCCTCTTGGGGAACAGTGGATTGAGTGAATGACAGAAAACGATAGTGTGAAGAAATACAACCTCTGAATGGATGCCTGTTGGAAGCCTTGCCAAGAATCGCTTGCTGTGACATTACATTCACTTCCTGTGCTTGTTTTTCTTCAAAGGGAAAGAAAAACTAAAATTGCCACTGAGGATAAGGAGATGAGTATGTTTCCCCTCAGTAGGAGGAGGAGAGGAGCATCTGAAGTTGTCTGGAGTTTCCTGGGAAAGGGAACCATAATGACTGCCGGATCACAAACTCGGTCTCCTGTACTTTCCTGCTTCCTTAGGATGTGTGCCAGACCAGCTCAGGCCTCAGCCAGGATTCCAACAAGGCCAGCCTGCTTGCTACTCAGAGCTGCAGAGTGTCCTGGAGGAGTTTTTTGGGGTGAAGTCTATTTTGGCTTGTTTATCTATGTGCACCACTGAGTCCTGATGGGGAGGATGGGATCTGAGACTCCTGGCCATAGACACCACTGAGAGAAGGTCATTTTCCCTCAGCAATGATTCATCTTCCCACAGACCTTCACATTAAGATACAAACACTTAGCTTGCAATAATGAAGAAAATAACTTCTAACACATGAAACCAACGACTTGAACTTGACCCAAATTTTTCTTGGACAAACTGTCTTTGTATCATGTTAGCTTCTCAGTAAATTAAAAATATTTCATGCTATCATGTGTTTGCTTTCCTAACCTGGAATTCCCAAATTAGCGTGTATTTTCACACTATTTGGTGCTTCTGTGTCAGGGAAAGGTAATTATAGGCTGAACCAAATTGCTAAAGGCCAGACTGGCTTTGGGTTATGGTCAGCTGAAACCAGGCTCTGCAGACCCAGCACTAACTCAGCAAATTGAAGGAAAATTCCTATTTGGATACTGAGTTAGTCATAGAACTGTTTTCATTTTCTATTTCTCTTTGCTTGAGCTTCAATTCTGAAGTGTTTAACAAATCAGTCTCACCACGTCTTTGATGGTTAGGACCTATCAATTACTTAGTTTGTACTATGTCCTGAGCTATCATTACCTTTAGTATTAAAATACCCTTCACAATAACTGTAAAAAGAGAAACACTCATTACTACCATTCTGAAAGTTAGAAAATTGAGTTTTGTAGTAAAATATTTAGCTGTGTGTCACACAGTAAGTGGAAAAACAGGATTCAAGTTCAGGGCTGTCTTGCTTACACCTTTAAGTAATACACTACTACAGTTTATTTTTTCAGATCAATGATAATTATCAGCAGAATGATTTTATGAGTTGTTACCACAAGCCAGGCACAGATGTGGACATCTAAATTATAATCACTATAAACCACCAAATTACAGACCACTTGCAATATCCAAAATAGTCATATGTTCTTGAAAGAGTAATGAATATCAGAGCCAATAAGATTCTTACATTAGATGGAAAATGCATTTAAATACCTCATGACCCTATCTAGTTCAACAGACTTTAGGTGAAAAATATTTATACATGTCTTAAGAAAAAAGGAATGCCAAACTCAAACCAATGATAAGCTGAATGCAGCTTTTGTGAGTGAACAAAACTGAAATAATGTCAGCTTCCCCTTTCAAGTTTTGAAATCCATGACATAGTGATTATAGAAAGATTCATTTATTTTGCTCTTTATTTATTCTTTGAGTTTCTCCTATAAGAGAAAACACAAAATATTTAAACTTGTGTGTCTGATTTATTTTGCTTAACATTATGGCCTCAAGGCATTCATTTTCTTAAAAATGACTCAAATTTATCCTTCTGTATAGCAGATAGACAATAGGAAACAGGGAGATAGATCCTTTGGAAAGAAGAAGAACAAGAGATGGAGGAAAGGGGAGAAGAGAAGGAGAGAGACATAAAAAGAATTAATATATGTTATGTACATGTATCAACTATCAACAATGAATGTAATCAGTATGTACCTCAAACATGTACTAATAAAGACAAAAATGTTGTTAAGAGACACTCTCCATGGGGATGGTGAGAAGCCCACAGGATGTCTGTAGGTTTCACAGCTGGCCCAGATCTCTGGTTTTAAGTAGCATCATTGAATCAAATGTTAACTGTCTGTTTTAGAGAATAAATAATCTGAATTTACTGGGATGGCTCAGAATGCAGGCATCTTTTTGTCCTGGAGGAATCAGAAATAAGAAGAAATTGTTGCAGTGCAAATGGATTTAAGACCGTAGAAAATATTCATCTTCCATTTCTGTACTGCAGTGCATGTAGATTCTAGATGAAGACAGACTCTCAGTTTCCTTTTGGTTCTGAAATCCTGTAATTTTTGGAGTATTGTTTTTTACTTCAAATTCTGGGCCTCTAGGTCCAGAACTAAAAATAATTCATATTTTATTTTCAAAAGGAGCATAAAATGGTAGACTTTGGCAATCAGACTGTTGGGCCACTGTCTTCCAGAACTTAGTGATGAGAGAAAGCTGCCAGCCTTGGTTATATCCTGCAACATACCTACAGTAAATATTTAGATCAAAGAGTTGTCCAGAGTATTAAACTAGGGAATGCAAGTGAAGTGCATAGCTCCGAGATGAGCACACAGAAAGTGATCAGAGCAAGGTTGGGTTGGGAGCCAAGATGCTTCCTACCATTCTTATCATCTAATGGCTGAGAGATATTTAAATCTGCTTAATTTAGCGGTATAGAGTCAACACAGCTAATAAGTTGCAGATCCAACATTTTCCATTCTTTAGATACCCTCCTGAATCTGTAAGGGTTCAGATTATCCACTTCCTAGTTATGCAATTCTTGATACACTGACTCACAAGTGGCAATTCTGGTTTTATAGACATGGTAAAGATTTGTTGGGGACCACAAATTCATAATGCCTAATTCTGTATACTTCCCTAAGGGATGAATGAAGGCTTGGGATTAAGACTTCCCATTAACTCTTGGGATGGGCCATCTTCTTCCACTCACTGAGACTAAACTAAAAATACAAAGGTTAAAAAGAACACCCTGGGAAAACCTTCGTAACATAGGTTTTCATCTCCATCCTCTTGAGTTATCCCAGGATTATCTGTTGACTGCTGAGTAGCTGACTCTGAATCTTCTGCCAACCTTGAATCTTCTACAGTATACACACCCAATAAATAGTGGCTCCTTTGGAGTATAGTGGTCTCTGCCTGTCCTGAGGCTTTGACCTCCCAGTGCTGTATCATGCATTACTAAATTTGTCTCTGCTTCTTACTTCATTCTTTTGCTATACCCCTTATACAGGCAGTTGGGGATCTTGGCCAGGTCCCTGATAAAGATTCTGCCTAAGTGATATACATTTAACCCTGAGCCTCCAGGCAAATGCTCTATTTCTGGTGCCCATCAGTCATGCAATAAATGCAGTTGGGGTACTGTTTTTTGTATATGTGGGGTTTTCTTTTTGTTTGTTCATTTTTTTTTGATATTGGGATCAAATTTATGACCTTGTGCTTGCCAGGCAGGTGCTTATGCCACTGAGCTAAATCCCTGGCCCTTGTGGGTTATTTTTATGATTTTGCATTTCCTAAGGCCCCAAAGTCCCTGTAGAATTTTTCTTTAATGTTAAGGAAGAAAAGGAGAAGGGAAAAATTGAAATTTTTTGTTTATTTTGCATTCTTGTCTAGATACACTCCTTCCTCACTGCACTGAGGTTGCTGTGAAATGGCTTTCAATGTCACTCCCTAGAGAATCAGAGAGCTGAGTTAAGAGGATGTGTCTTTTTGAGGTCTTAGTGGGGCTTTTGTTGTTTTCTACACAGTTGCAAGGAAGCGGAAAATCAAGCACAGTATGCCAATCTATTAAATAAATGTGTCAAACAAAAGTTTCATACACAGAACATTCTAAATCCACTGACTGAGTCAATCCTCAAGAAGTTCAGAATTCTATATTCTGTTCCAAAAATGGAGCAGAAAGACAAAAAAAGACCTCGCCAAAATTACAAATCCACATTTACTCATAAAGCTGAACCCAGTCAGCCTTCGATCAGTTGCTTCCAACTACACAAGCCAAGCCTGCAGCCAGAGTGCCCAGAGACTGACAGCCTTTCTCGGGTGAGAATCATTCTCCACACACATTTGTTTCTCTGTCTGTTTGGCATTTTCATTAGCTCACACCAAACAGATTTGTGCTTGCCTCTTTTAAGACTGGAAAGTTGATGTACCTGGATAGGAAGTTCTCCAAGGACTGCTTCTTGTCCTCTTTACATGCAATGCCCTCCTTTTTCTGCTTCTCCATATCTTTGATTCGGGACTGGAATGTATCGATCAGATCAAACACAGACTTCATTGCAATCGGCACCTCATAGTATTGCTGTTTTAAAAAGCACAGAATTCAAATTTTATGTAAATGCATTTCTTCTGTCAGTTCAGAGAATCCAGAAGAATTCAGGGAACTTCTGGGGAAATATTTTAAAACACAGCCTGGCAGGCTCACTGATTTACAAAGTTCTGATGATGTTTTGAAGTTTAGAATCCATGAAACAACTGCCACTTTTACAAAGAATTTTTCTTAACAATACTTTGTTGTTAGAAAGGGCCCGTGTCTTCCTCATCACTTCCCTAAAAGTACCCAACTCATTCCTGCTCACTACTGAAAGGTGAAAAACACTATATCCAGACATGAAACTAATTGGAATGCCACGTTAGAGTAGTTTTACACCAAGGCCTATTCTCTAGTCCCAGAAATTGTTTCATTGAATGAGCAACACTTAATATTAAGTCACGTTGGCTTACATATTTTTTCAAAACAAATTGGGATCTAACTTAAAGAGAATAAAATTTATATCCTGAGTTATCACTGTCAGGACTTACAAAAGCAACCTGAGACAGATTTGGGGCTAGATGAACACAATCAGCATATGCTGGAGAAAAGTCTAGATGTGGCTCGGAGCTAGTGTGTCCAACGGGAATTCACTTTAGAGATCAGGCAGTCCAAGATCTCACATACGCAATGGAGTAATACATGGTGGAATCAATCAATAAAGCAGTCCCTCCCTAGATCCAGAAAAATCCAGCTGCAAGTTAAGTCAACTATTCTGACAACCCAAGAAGCCTTTTTCCCTAAACATTCTTATGTAATCATATTTAACGCCAATATATTGAAATTATAGCAAATTCTGGAGCCAGCCTGCAGGTTATGAAGTCCAACACTACCTGGGTAGTCTTGGATAAGTTACTTATCCATTCTGAAACTTTTTTCTTTTTTCTCTGTGAAACAAAAACAATGCTAGTGTTTATCTTGGAAGTTTGAGACAAGAGCTGCAAAGTGTTAAGGAGAATGCCTGGCATAATGAAAGCCCTTGATAAAGTTAGCCATTTCTGTTATTCTTGTGACTATGTAACATGGGTTTTCATGGTTCAGAAACCATGTCCTTAAGCACAGGAAGAAAATAGGTGTGAAATATTACAGTCTTCTCCACGTTGGCTCAGAAGGTAAACTTTCAGACCCTTCCAAAAATACCCTCTGTTAAACACCAAGTTTCTTGAAGACACAAAACACTCTTTGCTTTTCATCCCCAGGGCTTGGAACACCACACCTATTCAAAAAGTGCCTCATGAATGCACAGCATTGCAGTTAAAGAAGAATTTAGTCAGACTCAAATAGCTAGGCCATTGCAGGTCAGTCTAAACCATTTTCTCCTGGAGTGAACAGTTCTGAAGGCAAATTCATAAGACAATGAGAAATGCTTGGGCCATTTCAAGACTCCTTTCATTTAGGAAGTAACTTGTGCTCACTCATATGTCTAATAGACTCATTGACAAAAACAATGAGTAGCTGCTATTCTGAGGGGTTGCAATGTATCATAAGAAGCTGTACCTTGACTCTCAGATCAACGTCTGTCAGCACCATGAAAAAGTCATTATAGGTCATTCCATACTCTTTCCGCAGCTCACTGATGAGATGCTGGTCTACCAAGTCTTCATCATCCACCACACGCATAGGTTTCTCATTATCTAAGGCAAATGAAATGGGAGTAAGCATGGGTGTGAAGCAGTTGAGTAGGGGCTCTGAGTCTCCGATTGCCTCTCATCAGACCAGCCTGCATTAGTTTTATATATTCAACTTACACAGTGTATAAACAAAAGTTTCAAAGGGAATTAGTAAATATTGCAGCAAACAAACAAGCTACTTTTGAAAGTCACTCTTCTAGTGATAATGAAAGAATGATAAAATGCTCCATCTCTGCCCCCTCCATCATAGGGAATCAGAAAGGGAAAAGTCTATTGTAACACATCTAGAAGAAAACAGCCAATGCCCTTAGGGAATGGGTCTTTAATCCAACTCCCTAGACTCACTCATTTCTGTACATTTTATTTACAGAGCTGGGGATTTAGCTCAGCTGCACAAGTGCCTGCTTGGCAAACACGAGGTCCTGAGTTCAATCCCTGGCACCAAAAAAAAAAAAAAAAAAAAAAAAATTAGACAAAACATACATAAATAAAATAAATTTTATTAGCACTAAACATAAATTTGAGTCTGAAACCTCATGTTATAGCTATAGAGAAAAAAAATGTGTATGTTCAAACATAGTTACAGGTTCCTTTCGGTTGTAAAAATAAATTCATGCTATTCATAATATAATTTTTCAAAATTCTTGTGAGTCTAAGAAAAATGTGACTGAATTTATGGAAGTTTTAAACCAGTATGTGTTTTCTCAATCATCAAATCCCAAAAAAGAAATCTGTATAATTCAGAATAGGTATCACTGGGTAATAGGAAATGAAAATCAAAGTATCTGACTTATACTGCAACTTGTATTCTGCAAAAATCTTAACATTTCTTAGGACAAGATAGCTTTTACAGAAGACTGCCCCTCAATTTACAATAGTTGGGCTTAACAATTTTTCAACTTTATGATAGTGAGAATGTGAAACATACTCAGTAGAAACTATACTTTAAACATTGAATTTTCGGTCTTTTCCCAATATTCATTCATGATGTGAAAACACATCAGTAATCCACAGCCCTCAATCAGTCACGTAATCCTGAGGAAAATCAATTGATGCATTCATGATGATGATGAATTAGGTTTATTAAGTGCATTTTTACTCAGAATATTTCCAATTTATAATGGATTCACCAGGATTAAACCACATCATAAACTAAAGAATATCCATATTTACTTCATCTGTCTCAAACAGGTCACTGTACCATACTATTCAGATCCTTTTGCCTTCAGGAAGGAGTTTGCTGTCAATATTAGTAGCTGGATCCAGCCTAAAAAGGGCTCTTCTTAAAAGAAAACTGCCTTTCCCCAAACCATAGCCTACTAGAACACAACTCAATTTGATGATTAGTGCAGTGGGCAAAAGGAATAGATTTAAAACCTGTCTCCCTTGCCTCAAAGTGACCAACTCTAAAGGAACAGGAACACTGAAACTCAAAGTCATCCACTAGCTAATCTTGCATCCTTCTCCCTTCATAGAGAGTAAGAATATATCTCACTAACTTCTTACATGCAAAACTCAAAAGCAGGATCTGTATCTGAGAGAGACTTACAAAGAAGAGCAGTGACTTGGTCAAGTGCACACTGTAATTAATATTAAGGATGAAGGTTACGATTCAGTATAATTCACTCCTGTCCAGTATTCTTTCTTTTGTACAAAAATGCCTCACATTAAAAGAGTAAAGAGGATCCAGAACCAAGCTTTAAGCCAACTTTGTTCTGCTGGCAAGAAGCCTGTTTCACAGTCTGGTTTCCTCTTTCACCAAAAATATCTTCTGAAATATTCCAACCAAACATTAGAGAAAAAATTCTGCATTCCCACACTTCTGAAATATGTTTGCACTGAATAAGGAAATCTAACAACAAAGATGACGACGACGATGATGACAACAGCGACAACAATGAAAGCTCTGTACTGTGCTGGACCCAACTAGAATGATGCAACTGTGTAAGACAGAATCCATTAAGGTCAGATTCTGTGGAGGATAGATGTCAGGCCAGCTTCTGTCTTCAGCTGCCTGCTTTGGTCACAGGTCTCTGTTATGCTTTATATTCTGTATAAATCAGAGCTGGCTAAACAAGTGCTCTCCAGTCTGGAAAGGCAACATCGAGTAGGCAGCTTAAGTTTATCCAAATCTAGTCCTAGCAACTGCTATAGAAATTATAAGCAAAAATTCTTTAGGAAACAGCCTATAAATGTCCACATGCTACTAACCCAGCTAGAATGATTCACAGTTCTAAACATTTTCTGATATTTGCATCGATGTTTATTGAGGAAATGGAAGATAAGGATGAGAGGGTGAACTCTGTTCTGTGCTGGTAAGGACTACCCCTAAGTGAAATGCTGACTAAGTCCTTAGCCTTTAAGACCTCAACCCTAAGTGTCAGTACCCAAATTCAAGTAGTAGTAAATTTCTCCTTGCGTTTGTTTTCCATAACTGACTACAGACAGCAATGGCACTGAAGAAAAATGTAGCTTCACTTATATCAGCAATTGTGCCAGGTATTTAGTTTAAAGTTTCTATCCATGACTGCTACTTCTCTGTGACATCTATGCTTTTTTTTCTCTTCTCCTCTTAACCTATTTCCTAATTTCAAGCCATTCTGTCAACACTCCAGCCTTTCCTGTTGCTTCAGAAAGTCCTTATCAAAATATGATTCAGTGTCCTCCTTCACCATAATCATCTGCATTACTTGTTAAAATTACAGCTCTTGCATCCAGACCAATTGAATCAGAAGTAGTGTTAGGAGGCCCAGGTGTCTGCATTTAACAAATTTCTCAGAGGATTATTATGCACCCTAAGGACGGAGAACTACTGTCTCACAGGATAGAAAACTTGCATCCATCTTTGACTTTAGAATTCAGAACAGGTATCATGTCTTTAGAAAGTTAAATAAAAACAAAAATAGCTTCATACCATTGTCACTTACTCTCTAAAAAATCTACTCACTTTTACAAGGCTTCTCTATTAAATAAACCCATTGTTCAAAAAAATTTTTACAATATTTTCTGTAACAATGAAAGCAATTGTAAGAATTTATCCCTCTATCACCTTCTTCAAATACTTGATTCGTACATTTGATTTAGGCACATTTTTCTCTTTGTCAAAGTTGAGCTTGACCTTGATATGCTTGACGTCACAGGGATCAAGGGCAGAGGAGCAGATGATTGAACAAGTCGGCTACAGGCTTTCTGGCCTCTAGGGCACAGAATGACCATAGTCCAAGACTGAATTAACACAGAGGTGAACACCCAGGTACTACATGGAGATCTGAGCACTGATGCAGCTTCTTTTTAAAGCTCAGAGTGGCAGGATTTAGAGGAAGCAAGTGTCAGGCACTGTCACAAGTGAAGAGAGGGTTGGGGGCAAAGCATCAATTTTTCAGGACTGCAGAAAGCAGCATTTTTGGATTGTCGTGGATTCTGCTGATTGGGAAGCTTCTCCAGCAGAATAATTTTCTTCAAAAGGATCAAAAGACATAATATTTTAGACTAGAGTGAATTCTACCATTTTTATTCGTAAAGGGTTGTTAATTTACCTGTGAATTCCTTACATATAAGAAATCATACCTCGTCCATTCTTGTTATGGTATTCCACTTTCATCAAATCCACCTCCATCAACTTTTCTACCTCTTTGGTTATCATCTACCCTCAAGCTCTTCTTTCAAAAGAAATTATCAAATTTATTTACACTACAAATTATCAATTTCCTTTATCCTATAAAATACTTTGTGTTATAACTCTTAAAATTTGGTAATCAAATACCAGTGTCAAACTATTTCTCATCCCCATATTTTGCTAGAAAAAAGCCTGCTCATATGTTCCTCACTTTCATTCTACAATGAAGTGCTGCTAGCCAGAGTCTTATCCCTATCTGACAACTCTGTGTATGATCCATCCACTTAACATCCACACCGATAATCTTATGATAGGCTGATACTTTAAATGTCATTAACAATAATGAATGTCATTATGTGTTAAACTCTTGCTTGTAATATACTCCATTCTAACAAAACCAGACAGGCACTGGAATTTGCTCAAACATAACTTTGTCTAGACTAATCTTGAAATCTTAAGGTAGGCTTCCTGATGTTTGTAGGTTCATCAGTGATGGCCCAAATGATTTTGAGATGGACCAGCTGATGAATATTCCTTACACTGTAGTTGGATGTAAGCATCTATTTTCAAGATCCATTGAAGAATTTGATGGGCCAGTGATACAGCTCAGGGATATAGCACAGCATCTGCCTGGAAAATGTAAGGTTCTGAGTGTGATTCCTGGTACCAAAAAAACGAAAAAAAGAAAAAGAAAAGAAAAGACAAAATCCACGGCCAGGGATATAACTCAGAGGCATGTGGCATAGCACCAGCCTGGCAAGCACAAGGCCCTGAGTTTGATTCCCAGTACCAAAAAAAAAAAAAAAAAAAAAAAAAAAAAAAAAAAAATCTGGAAAAATAGGGAGTGGTTGATTTATTTTTGACAAAAAGTAAGGCCATCAGATATATTTCCAGCTAAAAGTCAGACAAGGTTGGGGTTTAATTCACTGAGAACACGGTTTGTGCCAATTCTTATTTTCCCATGGCTGACTCCCAGTCCTGGCTGCAAGCGCTATATCCTTTCCCATAAGGGTAACCTGGGACACAACATGAGAGTGAAAGCCTTCCAGGAATTAGACTAGAATCACAATAAAGTTCACGCCCACTCCGCGTCAGTTCTGGGCTGCCATTCAGTGAGGCAAACACCCAAATCACAATACCTGAGCTCCAGAAATGCAGAAATACTGCCTCCCTGCAGTTCCTATTCAATCCAGATGTCTAGAAAACAGCAGTGTTATGCTAAAAACTTGCCAAGGCAGCACCAGATGCTTACAATAGGACCAGCAGGCTGAGGTGGAAGATATAATGACTTTTCCAAACTTCTCTGAAGGGATGGAAATAGCTTGTGGAAGAGTTGGTGGACAGCACATTTGACACTAGGAACACCTGGCTGAGGAAGACTTTCATCACCAGCCAGCACCAGTCTCTCTTCAGGACTGAATACCAACTTCCTCTCTAGACATCTGAATGAAGTTAAGCCCACTGGCTCATGCTGCTATGTGCAACACCAGGAAACAAATAGTTGAATCCTTGTTAACTACTAAATATGGCTTTGCAGTATTAGTCTCCTGGGCTTCACTTTTATTATCAAAAGCAGTAACGCAGTCTGACCTGGAAGAGCATTTGTGAGGCTTCCTGCATCACCATTCTGAAAGGAGCAGAAAATGATCGCAATTATTTTGCAATTGCAAGTGTTTTAGTGACAACTGTAACAGCTCACTAAACCTCCAGATAACTGCCAGATCAAATGGTAATATGGTAATGATAAACATCCACAATAGTAGTGCCCATTATCAATTGGGTTTTTATATACTTTTCTTATTTAATCCTCACCATTACCTGTGAAATAGGTGGGGCTTTTCCCCCTAAAATAAGACTTAAGAGGTAACTTGCCAAGGTCACACAAATACATTTTGGGTCTTTTCTTTTCTTTTGTGTTTTTTAATTTTTATTTTATTTGTGTGTGTGTGTGTGTGTGTGTGTGTGTGTGTGCGCGTGTGGTAGCAGGAATTGAACTTAGGACCTTGCTCTTGCCAAGCAATTGCCGCACTGCTGAACTATACCCCCAGCCAACAAATCTGACTTTGAGTCTGTTTTCTTTCAGATCGACTTGTTTTCTGTCCTTCATTTGTATGATTTTTATTATGGCTTTGATTAAAGAATGTCTTTTTTCATTTTTTTCTTATGCATACATAGGAATCACTTGTCCACAAATCAGTCACTAATTCACAATGATTTATGATGGAGCATGGGAAAATGAGCTATTTAATTTTCCTTTGTAGTCATTTCATGGGAAAGTAAATTTAAAAACATGGAGCATACATAACTGAAAATTTATAATACATAAATTCTAGAGTTATACTGTACAATACTGTATCTATAGTTAAAGTACTATATTTTGAGCTTTAAAAATTGTCCGGAATGCAATCTCATGTTAAGTATTCTTGCCACAATAAAAAAAAAAATAGCATAATAAAGTTAAAATACTTCAAATCAAGTTTAGATTATCATGACATAATTATGACTGCTATGCTTATTTTTCCCAAGATAATATGCCAGAAAAAATCTGAAAATGTCACATATGTTGAATTTAAATATTAAAATTTTTAAATATATTCATATTAATATATCAATATATTAATATATTTTAATTATTAATATATGTGCATATATATGCACTTTATATATATATTTATATATATATGTAGCAAGAGATGACAGAAAGAGAGAGATAAAGAGGAGAGAAAGAAAGAGAATAAGTTTTATCCTATTTTATGAAGCAAGATCTCACCATGTAGATCAGATTGGCCTTGAACTCACTACATAGCCCAGGCTGGACTTAAAATTGCAGTGATCCCCCTGCCTCAGCCTCCTGGGTGCTGGGATTATAAGTGTACACCACATATGCAGTTTAGGAAAAGTATTTTTACATTGTTATAGATGTTTCCATATTAAAAAATTTATGAAAAAAATGCAGAATATATAAGTGATGAAATATGAGGGTTTACTCTGAAGGGTTTTGATTTAAAGCTAAACAACAGCAAAGTTGAGAAAGACTACAAAAATTTTTTTAAAAATAAATTTTCAGAGATAAAATAATTACAAAAGAAATGGGGCAGGTCAGACTTTGGCCTTCTAAGTGTGCAGCTTAACTAATGACAGAAGTCTCCCACGTTCCCATGAGAACCCATCGAGTTACATCTGAGCGGCCTTTGCTAACTGTGCGCTCATGAATCTCACACGTACCATTAATATGAAAAATTGTGAAAACTCTAAACTCAGCCAAACTCTTCTGCTTTCCAAAAAGACTTGGGAGTAGTTCAATCTATATTTTTGGACACTTTTTGTTTAGCTTCATGGCCTCACTAAACTCTGGTTACTTCCCTGCTTGGGCTTGCCAAAGTCAAGTGGGTCCAGGGGTCTGGCTGGTCCCCATTTGTGATGAGTCACCCGCGGCTTGCAGGCCACAGGCAGATCCAGCAGCAAAACAGAATTCAGGGGCTGAGTACTGCTCAGATTCCCCCTCCACTACACTGCTTTTCTCATTCCCCTCCACCTTACTGACTTTCAGACAGGAATAAAGCAGTCATGCTATTTTTCACTTTAAAGTGCTGAAAGCATCAGCCAGAACTACCTGGAATGGTCATGTAAATAAGGAGGCCAACCGACTTGTATTATCATGAACAAAGAGGCATCCAGACCCCTGGATGTTCCTTTTGATCCCCACAATCCCCCTCCCATAACACTTGCCAAACCTTATATATAGCAAAAACAAAATACGATTAAAATACTTAAGAGAACCTAGCTGGAAGTGGTCTATTTTCATGGAGCCGTTACTGACAGGGCCGAAGATAGTGATGACGGACATTTTTCGGATGGCCATCTTGCAGAAATTCTCCAGATAATCATCACGTTGCTGCACATACATGTTGTTCTCAGCTTTTGGAGCAGTGATCAGCTGGAGGTGGGGGAGAAGGAGCAAATATTACTTCACAGCATTAGATTCACTGGGCAAAGCCCAAGGACATTATTTGGAATGGAGGGCTGGTATTGACTACAGACTACCTAATTACAGACTGCTGTTAGTCAGCTGGCATAACTAAGGCCATCTGGACGGGCCTCTTTTGTTTTAAATGAATCCAGACATCCTAGATGGTTCTGATCGCTTCCATTATTTACCTTCGTGACTCCTGGGGTCTCAGTGTTCCTATTCATGAACTCTGCACAGGAAGACTGATTTTGCAAGGCTGTTTTGAGTATCACATAATGACCTGGCATGCAACCATGGTTCAGTATGTTTCTGCCTTCTCTCACTTTGGTCTTTATTATCCTAATGGGCTAATTAGACGTTGGAACTGTTTGCTACATTCCACAAGTGGGCTGGCATCAACCTGTGCATGCTGGATGTAGAAGGATGTAAAATCTTACTCTGAAGGTGGTCAGGTCCTATTGATCTCCTTGACCCCAAATCCCTCGCCAGGGTGGTGTCTGCAGGGCACGCCATCTGTTCACAGATGACTCATCACTGAGCTAGGAGGCAGCCTCCACAAAAATGCTTTTGTAAATGATTTCTTGCATTTGACCACATTCAAACATCTCTCAGAGACTTTTCTCCTCACCTACCCAGGCCTACAAACCATGCCTGAAGTTTATGGCTATTTTCCTAGCATTTTTCACAGGGGAAGTCAACATAACCTCTTGCAAATATTTTATCAAAAATAGGCAAGAAATTTGGTCCTACTTTGATCTTGCTGTTGATTTTTCTCTGTCAGATGTGTTCATTGATACTTGTGGGCTTTCCCTGCTACAAATTTGCTATGCACGACTAAACAGTCTCATGAAAATTAAAAGATATTCAAAATGCTTTTCTTGAGCCAAATATTTAAAAAGCTTGTGAGAAATAAAGTTTTTAAAAAATATTCTTCTTTCTCAAATCATTATTACTTACATTTTAAATACGCTTACCCCAGTTCATTTTCTATGTATGCTTGTGTGTGTGTTCATTTGGACTTGATGGATAGGAACTGTTGGTTTGAGAAGTATAATTTCGCAAGGGAACAAGTAATAAAATTTCTCTAAATTTATTTCTGACTCACTTTTTAAAGTACTTCTAAAAAGATGCGATGATGATATATTTAGTTAGAGTGTTTTTATTAGCTATGTGGGATTTCAGGTAATAGTTTGAATCTTGGAGTTTTATTTTAACCTGACATATCTTAGTTTTTTCTTTCTGATTCTTTGCTAATAAAAACACTATTTTGAAATATACAAATGAACATTTAAATGAGAATATAAAATTGTGAAAGCAAAGGTAATGGAAAGAGATTTATTGTTAATGAGTTTGGATTTCTTAGCTTTGATTTAGAATAAGCCCATCCCTGGAATATAATTAGAGTGGTGTCTACACACAGCTGGCCAGATGCTAGGAGACTGACAATTACCTGCCCTGTACCTTCAAATACACACAGAGACTTCATTTCATTCCTCTCATACTTTGCTATGGATCCACAGACACAGTATGATATGAATGGATTTTGAAAGTTCTCAAAACCTCTCCTAGTCTCCTCCGTGTGAGTATACACAATTAGGAATTTCAGACAACATATAATCATAGTGAAGCCTTTTTCCCAAACAACTCTATACACAGTAATGTTAGGCTGTGAGTATCCAGGGGCAGTCTGTGGCAATCTCAAATAAATAAAAATCTCTGAGTATTATATTCTCTTGGAGTCTTTGACCAATAATGCCTTAACTCACCATCGAGGTGACATTCATTTTGCCTGACTCATTTCCTGGCTTCTGGCCCTCTGGGATCTGGTGCCAGCCTCTCTCTTGCTAAAGTTCCTTCTATCCCTCCCTTAAATGACCTCTTTACCACCAATAGCTAGATGAGTCCAGATTTTGAAATGAAAGGAATCTCGGACAGAATGGCACAGAAAAAGGGTGACTACCACCAAAACTAGAGGACTAGCACTTTTGTCCTAGTTCTACTCTTCTGTAGGCTTAACAAGTCCATTTAATTTGATGAATCTCAGTTTTGTCATCTTTACAATGGAACCATTTCTATGTCAATCTCATAAAGCTGTGAAGTTAAAAAATAAGCTGTGTGTACCTCAGCACATACATATCTGTTGCTTTATATTTGTTTTTGAGATAGGGTCCCAATACGTAGTTCAAGATGTCCTTGAACTCACTATGTAGCCCAGGCAGGCAATTCTCCTGCCTCAGCACCTCCAGTGCTGGGATTCCAGGTGTGCACCACTACACTCGGCTTATCTGTGTCTCTGAAAAGTTTCTGTATATTCCTTCTTACATGTATATTTAGTCTTCCCTCCCACCTAAGAGACCCTCTTCCAATACCTTATCACAGTCATTTCCTCCTCTGAATAATTGTTCTGTTTGTAAAGACAAACAGAACAATGGAGTCTTTACAAACAGAACAATGGAGTATATGTATTTCCTTTATTTACTATTATCTTTTATATTCAGGTTAAGTTCACTGCCCTACAGACAGTGGGAGCTCCTGAGTGCTTAGTTACTTTCCAGCCAGCAAAGAGGGGACAGAGTTAGAAACACAAGGGTGCCTGGTTACAGATGTCTAGATGCAGCTCTCTGATCAATCAGAAAGACTTTCTCCCTTATGTTTTAATCTCCTTCTCCATTTGGCACTCAACAAAGAGAGGAGGCTGGTCATCTGACACTTCTTAGAGATTCTCCCTGTATATCAATATTTCCATCCAGTTTGGCAGCATTTTAAACAGTATTTAAAATGGAAAACATTTCCAGTCTCTTCTTCCAAAAAAAAAAAAAGTGTACCCTAGAACTCTTCAGGAAACATTATTGTCTGTCACTTGTACTCTTTCTAGTTCAGCAGCAATAAATCAAGGCATGAATCATGAATTTAAAATTGTGTTCCAACTTGTGTGTTTGCTCAGTGGTCCCAGAAAAGAGGAGAAAACCCGTTTGTATAAGTAAAGGAGTGAGAAGGAGTGAGAAGATACTAGGGAGGAGATATTCCAAGCACAGATTATTCTAAATACTACGTTAGGCTCAACACACTAGATTTTTATAAAATTCCATAAAATAACTTCCAAGCTAGTAATCTGCCTTGTAAACCAGAGTTGTTAAATCCTTTTCCAAATTTAAACCAAATCACTAAGTTTCTGACCACAAAGCACAGATCTGTGAAGACTGAAAATATTAACTCACAGGAGACTCATTTGCTGAAGAAAACTTAAATATGCCTTTGAGCTTACATGATTTAGCACAGTGAAGTCCCTTGTTAACAGACAAGTAGGTAGATCTCAGAGTAGCAAATGATGACTTGTCAACTATATCTCATGTAGCCCAGTGTTTTAGTGATAGTTTACCTACATTATCACCATCGTTAATCCGAGACTGACAATGTGCAATTCAAAGGATTAAGTCAAATGAATTTCAATCTACTATTTGTGACTGTTGGAACACAGGAGAGGTCAAGTGCAGATAATTAGCTAGGTAATTAAAGGTAGAAACTTTACATTTACACTTAGCACAAAATGTTGATGATTTTTATATCTTACCACTTGTTTGGGTAACTGAACGTTCAAAGTGAATTTAAAATGTACGTGTTTATTAACTAATAGAAAAACTATTTAGTCTTCCTCTCAATTTATGGCCCATGGCCTATTGGAAGCTCATATTCCTAAGAAGAAAATAAGACCCAGACTTTAATTTGAGCTTGGATTCTATTTCTGGCTTTGTCCTATTTTAGCTTTGGGTACCTTCCCAACATCTCTAAACTTTTATTTTCTCATCAATAAAGTGAGTTTTTAAAGTCATTCTTTATGGGATTTTTGTGAGAATTCAACCACACAGTCTTGGAAAAATTCCTTGCAGGGTGCGCTCTTTTCTCTGGACAGGCTAAGAGGTGGTGTGTGTGTGTGTGTGTGTGTGTGTGTGTGTGTGTGTGTGTGTTTGTGTGTGAGAAACATTGAACCGTGGTTTAGGAGTAGGACTCCTGGCTCCACTACAATGCCTTTGAAATCTTTTAGGATGCCATTTTCCCAACCTCAACCTATACCATTGTTGCCAAGATTTGTTTATATAAGAAATTAGCTCAAGTAGCAGTTACATTTTGCCATCTGGAGAATAATGTAAATAAATGCAAATTACCAAAGATTTACAATAAATTATAATGTAAGCATCAGACAACTGAAAAACTGGACAGCTGAGCTAAGAGGTCTGCACTATTCCGTAGGATGTGAACCTGCTCTCGGTTTGAGCACACTGGGTTAGTTGAGGCCAGCCAGATGTAAATATTCTCAGCCATTCTTGGGTAGTTCGAGAGTGCTAAGCCTTAATGCATATTAGTTGAATCACTGAGCTTCATGGGGAACATCAGCGGAGTTTGATGGAAGAAATGAGTGGAAAAAGGATTAATGAGAGCAATAACGTCTTTCACCCAGAAACACTGGTCGCCGCCTCCCTGTCTGGTGAAACTCTTTTCTTTCCTTCTTTTGTCTTTGTATCATGTTAACTTTATCTGGTTTTTCTAATCCCCTCTTACTTCATACATCACTAGTTCTTCAGAAAACACATCTCTGATACCATCACCAACTAGGTACACAGAGGATTGAAAGACTGAAATGTCTCCTGTTAGTATTTTCTTTCTAATAACAAATCTAATTCTCTTGCTAGTTTCAGAGTCCAAACTGCCAGGAGCAATTCCAGCTGGTTTCTGTTTTGCCTCACATGACATCAGCAGAAGCTGTCCTTTGAGTTTCATTTGCTCAGAATTTACGACCAAGGAGAGTGTTAAAAGCAGAAAAGACACAGCTGGGCTTTAAGATCCCTAACTAAGGGAACAGAGAGAAAGAGGGAATGATCAAAAGCATGACTAAGATCAAGGATTCAGTATACAAGTCCCTTTCTTTTAACTCACAAACTAGAGGTAATGGAAATATTTACTGGATGGGTGCACAATTACAATCCTGACATATTATCCGTGATTGTTTTTTCCCTGGTTTCAGTCTGACCATGAGGAACACTTTACCTGCCTTATCAGCTAAATGAATAGAGTAGGGTGATGTGTTTTAGTGGGCTGGACAAAGTGCCAGATATCCAGGGGGAGAGGAATGGAGCGCACCATTAAAGCTTTCCCACGGCCCAAAGAGAGCCATTTATCTCCACAGGTCCCCTAACAAACACTCAAGCACCAGATACAGTTGTACTCTGACATCAGTGATTCTTTTGATTCTAACAGTAATGCCCTCATTTAAGCTTATGGAGCCTGGGAATACCCAAGCAACTGTTAAATTACGTAACAGCCTAATAACCTACATCTGTATAAGTACTTTAAGGCTCTGATTAAAAATTGTAAAAGCATACATAATACACATACACACAACCAGAGATTGTTCTAATCTATAGTTCACTATTAATGGGAACAGGTAAGGGAATTTGGAACATGCTCCACCCAGGATAAACATTATGGAGACCTCTGCTTCGATTAACATTTCAAATGTACATTTAAATTTTTTGAAACCACCAAAGACAAATGGTTACCAGAGTCCTTTTGCCTAAGTCATTAATCTGAATTTAGGCCAGACTGGAAAAACTAAAAGGGGAGGACCCCTAGAAGGGTAAGGAGGAGACATGCAGAAGAAAAGAAGTCATTTTGTGTCATTGCTGAGAATTGCTCTCAAATTCAAGATGGGCTTGTTCCTGCCCGAAGCCCTCCTTAGACTTAACTAGACCGTGTTATCATTCTATGGATAGTGGCATCCATGCACGGAGAGAGGATTCTAAGGTGAATCTGTGACTTGCTCAACATTAGGGACACTGGTGACCACAGGTAAAGTGAAATTAGGGAATGCTTGTCTCCTTCTTCCCATATTTATGTGCACACACACAGACACATAGATCCACACTCATTTTGTAGACCCTCAAGAGAAATCCGTATCTAAACTCTAAGTGTCAATTTATTTCTAGAGTACTGGATGTCGATGCAATGATTCAGTACCCTACATCCTATCTCATGGGCTCTTGTTACTGGTAGTCAGACAGTGATGGAGGAGGTAGTCTTTATACAAATTCTGCCAGCAGCTTTTAAAAGTATTCGTAAAAGTCCCACCAACAAGGACCTTCTTTACTTTCAGTCAAATCTACTCTCAACCAATCTGCATTATTTTCCCTTTCGAGGCTTTTGATATCTAACTGGGAAGAGAAAAGAAACTCTAGCATGTTCTCTATACCTATTCTAGTTTCTAAGTTCTAGCAGAGAGAAATGCTTATCTTAAATTGTGACTAGAATTCAGTCATTCCATTTAGGGAACTCCATTCTTTTTTTATTATTTGAATTGAGTAAAAAGAGACTATATCTCAAAATGCACCATGGAAGAGAGAAGGATGGACATGGGTACTGTCAGGCCTGGAAGAAGCTGACTGTATGTGTTTCCCTGGTTTCACATTTAGGGACCCCCAGCCATGGCCTCTGAATTGTATAGCCATGAGTTAGAGGTTCATAGAGCATCTAAACTGAAGGGGTCTCCTGGCCTGGCTGGTCCTTTCTTGTCAAACATCCTAAGCATCTGGCTCAGCCACAGTCTGGCATCTACAAAACTCACAAGACAAACATGACTCTGCCCTGCCTCTGCTCATAAAACAATGCCAACATTACTTACGAGGAGCCTTCTTTTGCCGTCGAAGGACCCCAACAGGTCAGTCACTGACTTCGTGGGACTCTCGGGGAGCTGTTTCATGCTGGGTTTCTGGTATCCATTCTGCTCAGTTTTACCTGATTTTTTCTTCTTACTCTTCTCTTTCTCCTGCTTGTTCTTTTTCTCGGCCTTCTTTATTTGCTTTTCACTCTTGAGTAACTTGTCTGGTTTTTCATTCTTTGCCTTTTTTTTCTTCTCCTTCTCAGGTTTCTCCAGCTTCTGGTGCTTTTTAGATTCCTTTGCATTTTGGGAGGGGATGTTCCCCACCCGCATCTCCTCCTCCAGCTGAGAGGCTGTAGGCTGGCTGAGCTCATACTTATCCTCATATTCATTGCTAAGGATTTTGTCCTGGGCTTTCTTTTTGGGAAGTTTCCCCTTTGCTGGCTTGTGAGGACCTGGCACCACATTTGGGTCCCGACGACCATGTTCCCGCCTGTCTGTGCGGTTGTCCTGGAAACGACCTGGGACAGCAGCCCTCAGGCCTGGTTCTGAGATGGTGGTGGGAGGGGTGGCTGTGAAAGTGTCAAAGCTGGCAGCCTTGCTGGGCCTCCTGGTGGCCTGTGGCCTCTCCCTCTGCTGGTCCTTTCTGGGTGGAGGGTGAAGATTCTCTGAGACTGAGGGTCCCCGGTCAGTGGTCACCTCAGCAGTTGTTACTCGGGGTCTGTGGGAGACTGGGGAGGGATGCACCCAGGGAGTCCAGGGCCTCTGGGTGGCTGGAAAGAACGTGGCGGTCTTAGGTCTTGCAGCTACTGTTACCACCCTGGCCGTGGCCCGTGCAGTCACTGTGGCTGGAGCAGGAGGAAGGGTGGTAGGTCTCGGGGTTGGGGGAGCTGAGGGAGGAGCCACTGTAGTGGTGGCTAGTTTTCTCATCACCTTGACCCTCGTCTCTCTGGTTGGGGAGACTTGTGTTCTCCTTGAGTTCTCCTTCTTTGTCTCACTGCCCAGGCTTGGCTTTCCTGCTGCTCCACCATTGTTCCCCTCTTCCACCACCTGACCCTCTACTCCAGCGGCCTTACAGTTTTGGACAAAACCCTTCTGCCTGATCTTCTCTATCCTGCGAATGGGGCCCTGATCAATGACCTCGTACATGGCCTCCAGCCTGACTGGGTAAGGGTAGCGCTCCTCTACCTGCAGTGTCTTCTTCAGCAGCACCATGCTAAACTTGCCCTTCTCTAGCTTTAGGAAGCTCATCAGCTTGGGGATGAGGCTGGGGTCTAATGGCTGCTCCAGGATCCGGCCCTCACTGGTGATTCTTCGCACCTTGCCCCCTTCCTCACCTGCCTGGTGGAACAGCACAATCTGCTGGATGTGCCTTTCCGCCAGCTCACAGTACACATCATTCTTCAGGAGACTCATCATGAGGCGATAGTAGCCTTCTGAGGCATGCGGGGCTGAGATGACCCACACCCTGTTCTTGCCTGCAAAGCTGGCCAGGATATTGGGAGAGCTGGACCCCGAGGGGAAACGCAACACTCTTGACCGAGACGAGGATCCCTCATCTCCCACCATGTGGCGCGGGGAGCTTCTGGCTGTGGGTCTCAGCTTAGGTCTCACAGGAGCCCTGTTGATGCTCAAGGGGGCTGGCAGCACGGTGGGGCCAGCTAGTCTCAACACTGGCACACTCCTCCTTCTTTGGAGAGGCTGAGGGTTTAGTTCTTCCAAAGTAGCTTTGTCAATTCCACGAGACCTCCCTGTGTGCCTCAGAAACCGAGCTGGCCGACTGCTCCCTGGAGAAACCAGACGCACTTTCCGCCCTCCGTGGCTGGCTCTACTGGTGACAGGGGGGTGGGGTTCTGATCCACACACCAGCCACACTGCCAAAAGCATGGCCAAACCGGGTCCCATTCTCCACGTCATTGTGTAATTTGCTTTGGGGTGCCGAGAGGTCATGAGGCAGAAAGGGGAGAGGAAGAAAAAGAAAGAAAATCATTTAATTGTAAACAGAGCTGGTCATTATCTCTTCTCTATCTTGGCTAAGGGGAGGGGGAAGGGATGGTTAGAGAAGAAAAAAGAAACAGGTCACAAAATAGAAAACAGGGTGAGATCCTGTTGCTTTTAAGCCCCTGTAATTTGTTGATGCTTAGCAGAGACAGTAACCCGAAGCAGGAATCCAGTTTAGATTCCCAGGCAGGGTGTTCACACTGTTTCACTAGCTCTCTGGATGCTCCAGTGAAAGTACAATCTGAGAGTATTCATCCTGAGAACATTCACATCTCACTTCTTCAGGTAAGTAACAAACAAACACACCAAAGACAAACAGGATTGCACACTTACATGGTGGCTCATAGAGAGGGAGTTCAGAGGATTCCAAGAGAAATCTGAAGTTTGGTCCCCAGGACAGTCTCCTAAATGAAACACTTTTCTTCCCAGCCCTCTGTCTCCTGGCCGAGAGTGAGCAATACCCAGTGGGTGTGCTGCAGCTCCAGCTCGCACCACAGATTGCAGCCTGTCCCGGGCTGAGGGCAGCACTGACTCCTCTTCCTTCTGGCTGTGTCTTTTTACCTTTGGGATGAGTGGGAAGAAGTGAAAGGTGCTGTCCTTATCAGTCTTTGTGTCTCCATTTGTCTGCAGTTTCTCCTTGTCTGGCGTATGTCTGTGTGCCCGTCCCTCGTGGCGACACAGAACTTTTCCTACAGTGGAGTCCTAGCGATGTCTGAGTCTTGTTCTTTCCCTCTTCGGAGCGCCAGGATCCCTCTTATCACACTTTCTCCCACGGTTTGGCTTCGTTCTTTTGTTTCCGTGTGTAAAAGCACGGGGATTAATATGTTTTCCAGGCTCAGGGAAAACGCAGGAATGTGATGTTGCAAATGGATCTTTCTCCTTTCCTATAGTTCTGCCTTCCCTTCGTTTCCTCCCACCTTTTCTTCCTTTTCTTTCTCCTTCTTTTTCTTCTTCCTCTTGTCTGAATGCAGTTCCCAAAATGTCAGGACTACCTTAGTTTTGCTCCAAACCAAACTCAAACAACATCAGCCACTAAGAATCAAGGAAACTTCACTAAGAATTTAACAGATCAGCAAAACACACCTCCTTTCCCTTCCCGCACATTCAGAGTGGACTCGGTAAGGAGGGAGGGGGCTGTACCTCGAGCTGGGGGCAAGTTTTGAAACTCTACACATCATCATAAATCACTTTAGAATAGGATGCCTGAGGACTTAACCCCTTCTGTGCCAAGTCATCGGGGGAGTTTCTCTGCCTGTCTCTTCTTGCAGTGTACTTTGGGAGGGGAAAATTCTCAGATTTCTGTTTCTGGTTGCTTGGTTTTCCTCAAAGCAGACACTCATTTGGGTCTGGTGGTTGGCTGTGCATACCAGACAGTGTACATCTATTTATAATTCCACACATATATTTTTATCTTTTTTCTGCTTTCTGCTTGAGGTTGGAAAAGCCCATGGAAAACATGACTAGACTGTTTTTATATTATGCTAATTGGAGATCATATTACTGTGTTCTTGATCCTGGTTTCTACTTGGCATGAAGGAAACTGGTAAAAGGTTAGAAATTCAGGCGATGGCTGCTCTCCCTGGAGACTGTGGTTGTTATTACATTATATCAGTGAATGGGCATTCTGATTACTAGTGTTCTATTAGAGATGGTAGACAAAAGGTATCCTTCGAGGGTCTGAGCGTGTGTGTGTGTGTGTGTGTGTGTGTGTGTGTGCGTGTGTGTGTTGCTTCCCAGTAACTTTAGGAATCTAGACAGCTTTAGACAATCCCTGGGAATCGTCATTCCAGGCTCTAAAGGAGGGACTGGGGCAGTTTGAGCTTCTCTTTCCTGGGTCTCCCCTTGGGATTGAGCTTGTAGTGTGGGAGGGAAGATGCTTCATGTTATATGGATATTTCTTCCAGCCCTCTCAAACCAGGGTTAACTGTCACTGGTGGTGGGAGCTTGGTTTCTCAGAAGCCTCTTTACAAGTTTGGCCATGAAAACACCTTTTCTCACGAGATCAGAGTTCACTTCAGGTTGCTTCCCTGTTCCTCGGCATCTCACCATGTTGCATTTGCATTTCTTTCACATCAGCTCTGAGCTGGAATGAGGGAAGTCTTGGAGGAAGCTTGAGAAGTACAAGGGGTTAGTGAGAAGCAAAGCGCTCTGCAGTAACTGCTCAGATCCTCCTGAATGGAAGAACAAGATTCACCTGTCAAACCCATCCAGTGCCTTGTGCTCAGCTGGACAGTCAAATGCAGTTTCCTCTCTCATGATTCCGTAATGTGTTCTACATTAACCCTCACCGGGACTCTTCTTTCTTTTTCTATCCTTCCTTTTTCTTATCCTTTTCTCCATACCAACAACTACCATTTAGTGAGAATTTTCACATGAAGCTCTAGGTCTTGCACTTCCATATATTCTTATATTTAACCCCTAGAGCATGCAAGGAGATAGAATGATCCTCACCAAATGGATAAACTAAGGCTTGGTGAGTTTAAATAAATAGCCTACTGTCACACAAAGGTGAGAAGCAGCTTTAAAATGTGAACCTAGGTTCAGCACTGTCTACCAGACAAAATGCCCTCCTTCGTTTCATTTTTCTACCCTCACAGTGCTTTTTTTTTTGTTCCTTTGTTTCCCATGTTCATAGCAGTGTCTCATTATGTGCTCAACTAAAGCACTTTTAGAGTCCTATTGTCTGAGTAATTGTGTAACTGTACTTCTTGCCTTTCTCAGTAGATTTTCTCTTTCATCCCTTTCCTGAATATCTCATGTTTCCACATGTATCCCAACAGTTTGCATAACATTCGTAACCTGAGCACTGCCAAGACTGAATCACAGCTATTTAGCCATCCGAGGTTAACCTAAAAGGGAAAGCACTCTCCGTGAGCGTCAGTCACTAGATGGCGCGCTAAACACGCGCAGGGCAGGACCAGGTACGTACTCAGCCCCCTCCCTAGCGCATCCCGCTCTGCCCACCGTCTCTGCAGGCACGCACAACAGCAAAGCCAGGCTCTTCTTGCTTGTTAAGAATTTTTCCATCCCAGTGCCTAAACCGTCACCGGGGAACTCAAAAAGGCTTCCTCCACCTCCTGTAGTGGCCCGGAATTCTGGGAAGCACAAGCTTAACAAGAACAAGTAGGGAACACATTTACAACTATCTGCAGAAGCTTGTAATGATTTGTGGCTTGCAAAGATTCTCAATTTCTAGTTGATGATGTAAGACTTCTGTATTAAAAAGTTCTCCATTTAGATATTTACAGTTTTTGTTAATCCAAGAAAGAAATTGTCATTTAGGGCTGATCTGGGGCCAGTTTTGGAGACAGAGAGGTTAAAAAAAAAGTTAAACTAAATTTTAAAGTAGATTTTAGTGTAAATGCCTGCCTGGCAAGCGCAAGGTCCTGAGTTCGATTCTTGGTGCAAAATAAATAGATAAAGATTTAGAGATGCTAATTCCAGATTTCACTGACTTGACATTGGATGCACTTTAGCTCCCAGGGAGAGTTAAAAAAAAAAAGAGTCTATGCAGAAATGAGGCTGGGGTCCTTGCTTGATGGGAATTGGACTGAATGTAAGGAGACTACCAGAAAATGGAGCACTAAGTGACCAGTGCCCCATTGACCTGAGGCTTCAGTGACCTGGGACCCGGATACAGGGAAACATGCCATGAGAGGCACACAGCGGGCCAGCAGAGTGTCCTCACACACAGTTGGTTCTGTTGCGCAAAGTAACAGGCAGTGGATGTTACTGAATTCAAAACAGTGGTGTATCACATGAAAAAATCTTCTGTGTTGGAGGAAGTCTTCCGATGGAAAGACATGCCCTCGCTTGCTCTGTGATATTCTGCTCCCTAGCAAAGTCATTTTATCACATTTGAGGCAGACACAGCACAGACTTGTTGCTAAGGTTGTTATTTCTGCCTTTGCCTTCCACTCAGACATCATCCAGTTTCAATCTTAGCCACATTCAGTCCTTGAGAACAGTGAAGATAAACTCTTCCTCCTCAGCGTTCACAGAGTAGGACCAACTAAAGAAAGAACAAAGTGTTAGGTAGAGCTCCCCATAACTATTAACCTGAGATGCTGTGGGTGCTCAGGAAGTTAGGAGAAAATGTTTCCCCCTCCAAAGAAATACTTGATACTGGATTTGAAATGTCAACAGGGTCACATGTTTAATTAATCTAAAATTGAAAAATATGTGAGCTTTTTCAAAATATAAGTTATATGATAGAATGGCTAAAATATTGAGAACAGATATTGATATTCTTTGTTTAAAATTCACATAATTCTATAAGGTTATTTGGGAAAAGCTAGAAGGTATTTATTTGCAGGTGGAAGGTTGTTTAATTAAGAAAATGTTGATCTTATAACCATCAAAAATTGAAGATTCTGGTCTTCATAGAAGTAAAGGAGTTTTGTGAATGACTTAGTGGCTCATTTTAAATCTCTAAGGTCAATGGTTTAAAATTGAGATTTTTATTGGTTGCTATTTTGTAGGAGAGGCATACCCTTGTGGGCATATTAATTTGCTGCTTGGAGATTTGTACTGGGGTTAAGGAGGGGTGGTTTCAAGCCTTAACCACTGACATGTTAATGCATATGAGATTTACATCAGTCCCATTTAAAGGGGAGCATTCTGGTTGTATCTTGCTCTGTGTTCTTTGATATAGCCAAGCAGATGGAGATGATCCAATTCCTCTCTGTTTTTTTCTTAGTCCAAAGTGCAGACTTCGTTCTAGGTATGGTAGAAAATCCATTCTCTTTCCCTAGAAGTCTGGAACTTGCACAGGTCATTGGAGAAGACAGGCAGATACTTTGCTCTCTGTGCCACATTGCCAGCTTTTGCTTCATGTAAAAATTCAGTGCCCACAAAGGCTGCAGCCAAATGTAGAGTCCTCTCCTGCTGGAGAAGGCTCTTTCATTCCCGGAGTAGGCTCATACAGAATCCACTTGGCAGTAACTGCATGACACCTTGGTGATCTTGCTTGGCATGTTCTCTTGGCTCCACAGTGCATGAGACTTCCAGATTCTCTCCGCATGGCACGGTGCGTTGGACTGCCTGACTGTCCATTCATCTTCATTTTCCCAATCCTTTCTTTAGCTGTGTTTCTAGACCTCTCTTTCTAGACAGGCTCATCCTATGTCTTTGGTTGTTGTGCTGTTGATCGTGCATTTTAGATTTAATCACACAAACTCAGAATATTATCTTACCTTAAAATGTGTGATACAAACAAGATAACAAGTCATTCATTCACTAAGATTTTCTTAATGCAGCCACTGTTTTAGTCTCAGGAAGCTCACATGGAATGGTAGCAGAAACAGTAAAAACAGAAACAGATATGGCAATCTCAGAACTGAGGTTTTTTCTTTCTGCAGTTAGTTACCCACGTATGTTTAAAAGATGGAAATGAACCAAGGAAAAACTATATTTGAAATTCATGTAGACACTGGTACTCAGGTCAAGAGGCAGTGGGGTGCATGAGTACAGACTTCAAGGAGGATAAGAGATTGACTTATAAGTTTAGGAGGCTATTTAAAAGATAAAGTTAGAAAAATCATGTGGGTGTGAGTAGAGACAGTATATATTGTGATGAAAGAGACTTCTTGGACACAATACTTAGAAGAAGAGGAGTAAAGGACATAAGCAAGGAGCAGCCAGTTTTTGGCTGCAGAGAGGAGGGAATGTGTGATGGTTTTCAGTAGGCACAAAACTTGGACCACATTACTTCTGGGTTCGCAGGTATTCACATACATGTCTACGATGAACTCATTGTCTGGGCCTTGGGTCGTCTCTTCACAAGAGACTCCAAAGCACACCACTCACCCTTAACTGAGAAGGGATTCTGCAAGAGCATAATTCATCTGATTTTTCTGTACTTTATATGTGAGTTCTAATTCTTTCAAGCAGATCTTTAGCTTCTGATAACATGGAGTCATTTTACATTAGTTTTTATTTTTATTATTCTGGCATACAATTGAGGAACTAACATTGTAAATTGGTGTCCGATAAATACAGTTAAAAGGAGAAATGATAAAACCCTAGATAGAAACTCAACTATTAATTATAACTTTAAAGGAAGAAAAATCAGAAGAAAAAAGAAACCTACACTTCTGTTGAACCAGAGGGTCTCTTTAGCTCTCTATATAAAATAATAATAGCAAAAACAGAAGACATGGCACTGTCAGACATGAAAGTTATAGCTTATATTTACATCCAATTGATGAACTTGTAAAATTGGTACAAAACACTTTATGGGAAGTACCACAAATCTTTATTTTATTTATTCACTCAAAAACTGTTTATGGATCACCTCTTATGTGCTGGACATTATTCTAGGGTTGGGAATATACAACAGACAAAATGGATCAAGCACCAGCTCTGGAGGGAGTCACATCCTACTAGCAAGAGAGACCAATAGATGTCAAGCAGTAACAAGCACTTCAAAGAAAAGCAATTATAATTCAAGGAAAGGTGATAGCAATTGGAGGAAGAAAAGTGGTATTTAAAATGGTATCAAAGGCTGCCTTGTTACTAGTTATATCTTGCATGAAAAAGAGAATCTTTTATATATCTTCCTGTTTGTCAATTATTAAGCCTTTGAAATTAGAGTTTCATTCATAGTCTGAAATCTCTAGAAGCAATTCTATTGATTGAGGTAGCTGATCAAATTGTTTAATTCTGTCTCGGGTGAAAATAATAGATGACTGTAAAGTAATAAATTTCCTGCATAACTCTCTAACTGACTTTGGAGAAACATGTAAAAGGAATTTCAAAAATTCTTTGAATCTCTGGCATAGGCTGTTCTAATAAATGAAAATAATGTATATATAATAAATAAATAATTTACACATTGCTGTCTACAGTCTCCAAAAACAACTGGCTTGAAATTTGTAATAATAATTTGAAAAATAATCACTTTATTTTGTAATAGTATAAAGTTCTGTTTAAAAGCTGCATGAAGCTATTTGTAGACTGGGGGAAGAGGACAAGGAGTCACCAAGAAGCAAGCTCTCCCTACAAATCAACGCCATGTGCAGGCTGATGCAGGCAGAGCCAGATGCCAGCCTTTTCCCATGAGTCAGCACCATTCACAGACTACAGGGGAAGAGAACAAGAAATCACCAAGAAGCAGGCCCTCCTTGCAAATTGGTACCATGTGCTCGCCACTGGGGGGACAGCCAGACACCAGCTTTTTCCCATGAGTCAACACTGTTTGCAGACTGTGGGGGAAGAAAACAAGTTATCAAGAAGCAAGCCCACCCTTTGAAGCAATGCCAGGTGTGGGCTGCTCGGGGGAAAGCCAGTTGCCAGCCCCTTCGGGTGCATGGTCTAGGAAACAAGAAGAGCCAGCCCCCATCCGTACTGTAAGTGACTGGCTGATCTGGAGAAACACAGGCTGTGATGAGATAAAATACAATGTAATGCTGATAGTGTTTAGTGTTTCACTGATTTTGCAGGTCTAAAGCTGGTAGTCTGATCACCTGTTCAGAGGATAACAATATGCAATGTATCATCTATGAGGGGTCTCCTTCTGAGGGTGGTAGCCACTGTGAATTCTCTATTATCTTGTTTTGAAATCCTGTGTCATTTTAATTGTTTTGTCGGGTTGGGTTTTATTCTGTTTTGTTTTGTTATATCCTATGGTATGGGCAGCTATTTCAAAGATAGCAAGATATATTATGGTAGCCATTTTGGGTTTACTATTGTCTTGGTTTGAAGTACTTTACTACATTCATTGTTTTGTTTTTATTGGCTTTATTCTGTTCTGTTTTGTTTGATTTTCACTATGTCTGAAGCTATTTTGAAGAAAACTGTGGTGACCATTGTTGATTTCATATTGTTTTGAAGTCCTGTGTCACACTGGTTTGTTTTGATTGACTTTATTTTGTTCTGTTTTGCTTGGCTTTATTCCCTTTTAAATAAAAAAAAAAGCTGCATTAAGCTATAATGTAAATACTTTCAACCAAAGCTCATTGCAAAAATTCTGAATAAAAATAAAATAAAATATGGTTTTAAAAATGAGCTTTAAAAAGTTTTAAAAATAATTAATTCTGAATAAAGCAGGTGATATTTCAAAGTTGTAAATGTTACTCTTGTTTAGAAGTTAAGAATGGAAAATAAGAGTGTGTCGTTTCTTTATAAACATCTTGTGATAATAGACTTTTGGCAAAAGACTGTCACTATTAGGACAATTCAGAGTCAGCACAAGTAAACATTGGTAAATAACTGTGTCAAAGTCAGAAGAAACAGCTTTAATTAAAAATATAACTCTAGATTAGAGAACAGTTCCCATATTTGGAGATCTTGTTTATTTGTTAGATGAGACTGCTTTAGCCTGTGACAAGGTGGCAAGAAATCCTCACCCAAACAGACCTTGGCTGTTGCTGAAATCCCAGGTTTGCTGCTCACACAAACTGCCAACTTTCTTGAACCTCAAGTTTCTTAATACATAAAAGACTTGGTAGTTTTTTTTTTTTTTTTTTTTTTTTTTTTACATAAACAACACCCAAATTTTTTCTAAAGGTGACTTGATCGGAATACTTCATGATCCACATAACAGAAAATCTACATCTAGCTGGAGTAAACAAAGAATTTGTCAGTTCACCAAACCAAAATGTTCCCAAATAGGTAAGCTTCTGGGTTGATCTGTTCTCACATTCTCATGATTTTATTGCTGTTTTGGTAAAGTACATATAACGTGAAACTCACCATTTTAACCATTGTTAAGTGTACAGTTCAGCGGCCCTGGGTGTATTTGCTCTGTGCAGCCACCACCCCATCCGCTTCTAGAACTTTTTCATTATACCAAACAAATCCCTGTACCCCTTAAACAACAACTGCTCGTCTCTTCCTTTTGCATAACCCCATCTAACAACTACTCCAGCTTCAGTGTTTAAATCTGACTGTGAATGGCTGTTATATGAAATACAGCTACTGCAAAAGTAAACCATTTTTGGAGGTGAAATACCTCACAAGAACAGTCATACACTTCCACCTATGGCAAAAGACTGGCAAAACAACATAGAAGGGAACTCAGGTGTCACATAGAGCCACTAAGGACTAATCACACAGAGATTAAAATTAGACTTTCCTAATAAGTGTATCTGTACCAATTTTTCATGAAATCTGAAGCTAGTGCAGAGCACGCACTTTGGTTTCCCGTCTGCTCTCACTTCTATGACTAACATAGTCTTCCAATTGTTCATTGAGCTCTCAGGCTCAGTCTACCTTCTAAATGATCATTGCTATAATTTTCTTAAACATCAGTATTTCATTTTTTGGGTTAATTCCTCCACAGTTTCCACACTGACCTCAGGTTAAATTTTAGCTTGTTAATGAGGCTCATGAGGACTTCTGGTCTGTTCCACATGCACTCTGCTTCCCTATGCCTTGCTGCCTAATCTGCAAACCAGCTCTCTCACCATTCCTAGGACATAGCATTTTCCTTTCTCATGTCTTGACATCAATGGTTATAGCATTCCTTCTGTCTGGAAGGCCCGCCCCTTCACTATGGGTCTGCTTGCCTAATTCTTATTCACTGTTCAGAACTTCACTCAAACGTCATACCATAAGAATTTTATGATCCTTCCTGCCAAAAGACTGAACTTAGTATCTTTTTCTGCATTTTTATAAAAACCTGTGGGTTGGGGCAATCCGCTCGGGATCCCTTCTGTCTCTCTTCAGACAGAAGCTTTCTTTCTCTCAATAAACATATTCTGCTCTTAAAAAAAAAACCTGTGGGTTCCAGTTTTCAATGTGCACCATTTCAATCTGTTCCCCACTTGAAACACTCAGCAGTGTGAAGGCAAGAACTGTTTCATTAGGATCGAACACAGTGATTAGCAGACAGTAATCTATCAACTATAATCTGCTGATGAAAGAATGAGTAATATAACAAATGTAGGAAAATTTATAGGCTTTTTAGTTAAACAGCATTTCAGAATTGTTTTCTACTTTGATCAGAAAAAAACAAGGTATTTGTAATTTTTATACTCACACAATGATTAGCATTTTGAAATATATTTATATTTATGTCATCCCTATATTCAAGATGCAGTATATATTATATTATACATGCACATACATATAAATCATAAGTACCTATATTATTTTTTCACTGAAGTATGTCTGCGTTCAAACTTGGAATTAGATGAAACCTGTTTTCATGTCTAACTTAACCTGGCTATTTGTAAAGCATTTTTTCTTAGGTAGAACAGAAAAAAATTTTTAATGATTGCTGGAATGAATTAATAAGACTGTTTGTTTATGGCTATATTGAGACAGGGTCTGGCTATATTCTCCAAAGTGACCTCAAACTTGAGATCCTCCTACCTCAGCCTTCTAAATATCTTGGATTATTTTTATTGGGTGTAAATAAATACTATCCACCATTTACTGACATGAAGCAAGTAGTTGGAGATATTTGAAACTATTTGTTCTATAAATATTCAGAACTTGACAATCTAGTGACTGAAAAAGCTAATTTCTCTGCAGGGGTGTTTTCAATTACAATATAGTCAGTTAAATATTCATCCAACTATTCAAATTCAACATACTTCAATGAAAAAATAACAATTGATGCTTTTTTTCTTCTTTCCTTATTGTGTTTTCCATCATCCTTTCAAAACATGCTCAAATTCTAGAGACAATTTCATCTTTCTACAAACAAAATGTTACAAATGACAGAACTGTTCAAATTTGGAGTGTTGCCTAGAGAGGCAGGAAGCTTCCTGTTCCACGGGCTAGGTCATGGGTTTATTATCAGAGAATTTAAGCATTAAGTGAGTGGTTAACAAAGGTGAAAGGCTCACTTTGAGGATTCTGGGAGTTTATAGTTACTTTACTTACTATGAATGAATTGATGCAATAATTGCCCTGGATACCTTCTGAGGAAAACGTTTACCGGAAATGCCTGTTATCATAATTGTCATCTAAATCAGGGATTCCCAGCCGCAGGCCATAAATGGTATCTGTTGGTGACCTATTAGAACTGGGTGGTTAGGAATTCCTGCAAATGAGGTGGATAGACATTTATGTCTTATAATTCAGCTTGGAAAACTTTGAAGGCAGATTCAAGAGAGAACCACAAATGTAGCCTGGAATCCAAAAGCCAGACCTTCAGATGCCAAACAGCCCTTTTGAGCCCTTTCCTGCAACCTCCTTGCCTTTTATAGGATTCAGGACCTCAGAGACTGGCCAGGAGAACACTGACAGCCAAGTGATGCTTTGATTAACAAGCCTTGAGGTACCCATACAGGATTTCATCGCTGACTTGTTCACCACTGAGAGAAGGGTTTTAACTTCTGGCTGTCTTTGATTATTACAAAATCCACTTATTTCTAAAGTCCCAAGTCAAGGAGCTGGTTGCTTATTTGGATGAGAATTCAAAACCCTGTACTTTCAATTGGTTTCTAAAGCTTATCTGGATGGCTTAATATCATTTTCTTCTGTAGCTGCAAATTTATGCCAGGTGTTTTTATTTAATGTGGTGATTTTTTTTAATATGAGGCAATAGGACAGTCTTCAGCTATGCAGTTTGCTCCTATTTAGCGAGTTCTTTTTATATATATATATATATATATATATATATATACTTAATCAGTTCTCCTTGAATTGAGATAGGTAGCTCATTCCCATGTTTGTCTGTAGCTCTAAACACAGCTCCAGTTCTGAGAATGGCTCTGTGGCACATACCAAGACAGTGTCTCATACTCTCTGGAGTGCCTCATGGAAATATCATGTGGATAAGAAATATGCAGCCCTTTCTCTCTGTGTTTGTCATCCAGACACCCTGTGAGGGCTGGCAAAAAGTATTCCTATTCTCCAAATATTCACTGGCATATATTTTTGTAGTA